CGAGAGAAGAGAGAAAAAGAAAGTTTGTGTCTACTATTTATAATTAATGTAACCACATGACAGGCTCAGAGAAAATTGACGGGAAAACTTGACTTGGTCATGAGCTGGAAAAACATTTGTATGTGGGTGGATTGCAATGCCCACTTGTATGTATTGACCAATTAGAAGTTGATATTTCCTGAAAATCTGTATGAAGCTGAATAAAATTGAACATTGATAAGAAAGTGCTAAAGTATAAATTCCAATATCCACTTTTTGGATATATACTCCTTCGCCACTAGAACACACTATAAAAAAACGTCTATTAAATGTACAAGCTGAAGGAATCACCAATGAGTTAGTTTAGAAGTAGGAAGAAAAACAAGAAAGAAAAAATAGGAAATAGAACTTTTACACATGTAATTTGGTGAAGGAAAGAAACAAAAAGGGGGAAAAAAGATGGTTGATATGCCACCAAACAAAATCATCTGAGCGTGTTTGAAAATTAGCATTCAATTATACTGGATTCTATCTGGATTTGAAACCTAACCACTGGAAATACATAGCTACCCTCATTACAAATCAAGCTCCTTCTTATATTTCCTAAGCTTAGCTTTGCTCCAGCACACATTTAAAATGTCAGGTTAGAACAAAAGTTCTTTCTGATTATATATATATATATATATATATATATATATATATATAAAAATAAATAAATTTTTTTTAGATGAAAATGTCGGACAAAATTTATTAAAGTATTGCCGCTTTATGTTGTTTCGCTGCACTACAATAAGTAACTTACCTTTTTCTTTCAGATTATAAGAATATTATTCATAATATAGTTTGGAAGTTGCCTCACTGCCTGTCCCAACTCAAGAACTCATTAGAAATGTTGTACTCCATGAGCTTCATAAATGCATCAACACAAGTGCAGCAGCAAAATCCATCCAGCACATTCTATTTGGCTGATGCATTAAGAGAAAGAAGTTGCAGCGAATGGCTTTCCTGTTTCAAAACTGGCAATATTAGTCTAGGAGACGAGCCAAGTGAGGATCATCTAAAGGTCTATTCAGAGGATTTAAAAGCTGCTGATACAGCAAATCCTCCTACTACAGCCTGGAAACTCTGTGATAAATTTAATGTTAGTCTTATGACAATCCTACATGAATAGAAAAAATTGATACAGTTTCAGTGGTTGGAAATGATCAACCCGTCTCTTGAGAATCTCCACCAACATGTCGATTGCTGCAAGTCATTGCTTACATGACAACTTAAATTTAGACAGGCTTGTTACTGGTGAAGAGAAGTAGATCCTTTACCACAGTGGATTACATTCTCAACAACCAACTTCATCCAAAGAAGTTTATGTTGAGTGTATAGTTGGATATTCAAGAAATCATCCATTATGAACTGTTAGACAACAATCAGTCAACACTGATCTTTGTTGTTTGAAAGAAGCTTTGGACAGAAAAGGTCCATTAGTGAACAGAAAGGGTGTAATCCTCCATCACAATAACACCTTTCGTCATACTCAATTGACTCTTAGAGAAGCTTGGTTGGGAAAAGTTATTTCATCTTCCATATTCTCCTGAGCTTGGTATTTTTGATTATCACTTTTTTAAGGATTTTCAAAACCATCTGGATGGTCTAAGGTTGACCTCAAGAGAGACAGTTGAACATGAATTGATCTTGTATTTTGCACCAAAACTTAAAGAATTTTATAAATGCTGCTTCTAAAATGTGTTGACAGATGGAATGAAGTCCTCAGAAGCAATGGAGGTTACATTGATGATTAAATATTTTTATAAGCATTAGTATCTTCATTTGTAATATACATGATAAAATCAGACAGGACTTTTGTTCCAAACTGAAAGCTAGCCATCCCCTGAGGATCATAATGACTGACATGACAAATTGCTTGCATGACTAGCTTGCTGTAACAAGCAGTTCTTTGGAGAATATATACTATATCTAAATTCCCTTTTTGACAACTGCTTTGTAAAGTTTTGGAATTTAAGATTACTTAGTAGTTTTGAGTTGAGAAAATTATCAAGAGAACAATTTTTTTTCTGCAAATTTAGTTCCTGGAATTTCTCTTAGACTTATATTCTTGCATTGTTTCTTTTTTTCCCCTTTGTTTCTTTTGCTTTTCTTTTTTTCTTTCCTTTTTTCCTTTGCTTTTCTACTCTTTTTTCCTTTGCTTTTCTACTCTTTTTTTCCTTTTGCTTTTCTTCCTTTTTGTTTTTCCTTTGCCTTTGCTTTTCTTTGTCTTTGTTTCCTTTTACTTTTCTTTTTTCCTTAGCCTTTTTTTCCACCTCTGAATAAATGATACTTCAAATTGGTTCATTTCAAGTATGTTTTTATTGCTAATAGGATTTCCAAAAATGGTTGGTTGCTGGGTTTGTAACTATTGTTTCAAAACAGTCTTCTTTTATAGACCATGTTCTTACAAAATGTGAGCAACTATGATCGTTTTGTTTCTTTAAGTAACTTTCCCTTTTTCCTATCCTCCTTTGTTCTTGATATACCATCGATTCACTCAAGCTTTAAGTAGTTTACTTGCAACTTTGCTTTCTCTGACTCAAGACGGTATCACCTCAATAATAAATGAGAACTTTTATTATTCACAGCAAGATAACAAACACTATATACTGAGAGAATAAAATTGGGGGATCATGTTTCATTGTTTGCCAATTGAATAGTTGTAGTAATTACTTTTTCTTTGAGGTAGCATAATGGTTATTGACACAGAAAATGGTATCTGGGAAGTTCAAATTCTAACCAATGCTGTTATGTTTACTTTGCACTAGTGCTCTTGGAAAAGGCATGAATCCATTTTTTCTCTTCAAGGAAAACTGAACCTTGAGTGGTATTTGTCAAGGAGAAGGATAATTGTGAATTCAAAACAGTGAAGGTAACAATGGGAAACCACTTTCTCCAAAAGTCATGATAATTTGGATACTAAAGAAAAGAAAGCTGTGGAGAGTCGTGATTACATATGTCCTGAAGGAAAATGGCATTGCAAAAAATGAAAATTTATTTTTTTAGTATGAATTTGTAGGAATCCAGTATATACCAGTTATATTTTTTTCACTGACTCTTGAGAAACTGTTATTTGATTGGTTGAAAAATCATAAACTACACTTTAATTTCAATATTTTTTTTAAAAAAATTTTAAAGACAAATTTCAAATCAAAAACTAATCACTTTGCTATTTATGAAGTTTAGCCTGGTATGGCACAAGGACAACTCTGGAAAAGAGGCTTTTTATGAAGATCTTTCAAGTGTGAATGCTGCTTACCTGTCTCGGTATTTTAAATGCAGCTTTTCACTGTCACCTGTAACAATGCAATGCAAAACAAAAGTTTGACATTCCTATTTAAAAAAAAAAAAAAAAAAAAAACTACTGCAGATGGTGGAATATTGTGTTAGCTTCTCGACGGAAATTTCATTAAGAAACCCAAATTCAGTCTTTGCAGGTTTTCTGAATTCACTTGTGAGGATGTTGGACAATCAAACGTGACACATTAAGTTTTGTTGCTTTGATGTGGATCCAATTTAATAATCTCTTTCAAAAGTTCTTAATTCAGAGTGGATCATCTTCCAAAGAAAGGCTTGTCACATGCTACACAAATGGTTTTAAATGCCTCTCTAGCAGTTACAATTCCTTTTGGAATTCATAAAGTAAGCAATGATGATTAAGTTTTTTTTTTTTTTGTTTTTCAAGTGCTTACTGCATTATAAATGACTTGCGTACAGATAGAAGAGATGATAAACTAATTCTAAAGACGTCTTTATACCATTCAACCTTTTTTCTGCCTCAATTGCCTGACTCCTAATTCTAACAGCAAAGTATGGAATTATTTTCCAAATAACCTTATAGTTATAAGACACACACGTTTTCTTAATTTCTGTTCTTTTATCTTTTCTCTCCTTAATGTTATCTTTTTCTTGTATTTTTTTCACACTTAATAGTCCTCTTATGGCTTTTTCTTGCCTGAGAGTGGTGAGCGGAAATGATTAAAAAATAGATAACGTTTTGTGCCAAGTCTCTGTTACTTTGATGTGGATCCAATCTAATAGTTTCTTTCAAAAGTTCTTAATTCAGAGTGGGTCATCTTCAAAAAAAAAAAAAGGCACACTACACATATGTTTTTAAATGTCTCTCTAACAGTTCCATTCCTTTTGGAATTCATATAGCAAGCAATGATGAATGTTTTTTTGGTTTTTTTTTTTTTAAGTTATAATCCTCATTGCATTATAAATGACATGTTCAGATAGAAAAGATGATGAACTAATTCTAGAGACAGCTTCATACCATTCAAACTTTCTTCTGTCTTGATTGCTTGACTCCTAATTCATAATGGTGAAGTATGTAATTCTTTTCTTTTCTTTTTATGTGCTGTGTCCTTTCAGGACATAGATGATTATGGCCCTCCACTTCCCCACTATCCTTTGTAACTCTCAATAAGTTACACCCCTCTGCCACCTCCCCCAGACCATGTTCTGTGATCCACTTGCTTAAACCCGCCAGGTATATCATGCATTGCTTTCCCTTATCTCTCTTTCTTTCTGTTTGACCTGTGAGTATCAGATTCTCCAAGCCCTTCTTTCTCATTACATGTCCTAGAAACTTCAGCTGTCTCTTTCTGGTGTTAAGTATAAGCCTCCATCTTGTTTGCATCCTCTCCAAGACCTCATTGTTGCTCACACACTGTCCATGATATTACTTTCCAAATAACCTTATAGTTGTAAGATACACAGCCTAACACACACACACACACACACACACATATACACATTATGTCTTCTTAATTCCCGTTTTTTTATCTTTCCTCTCCTTAATGCTATCTTTTTCTCATATTCTTTCACAATTGGTAGTTCCCTTGTGGCTTTGTCTTGCTTGAGGAAAGGAGGTGGTTGTGAACAGAAATTATTAAAAAAATAGATTAAAAAAATAAATATTTTTGGGGCCTATAAGACTTTGTGTTTTACTAAATGTCATTTTTTGGGTCTTTCAGGGTTCTCAAAGAATCAGATGTGATTCTGTTGCTTGGCGCTCGATTAAACTGGATACTCCATTTTGGATTACCTCCACGCTTTAACCCTAATGTCAAAATCATTCAGGTAAAATATACTTATATATAAATGCTACAAAGACATGAATGCCTTAGAGTTAATAAAAACAAAAAAAAAATCTACATATGCTAGATGTGTATAATGAAGTGCTACTTATAATTAGTGAGTTTAAACAACGTTTCCTAAGTAAAGTTTAACGTTTTGAGCTTTTGTATGGAATCTCGGTAAAAAAAATTTTGATTGTCATGTAGACACCTAAGGAGAACTCTTGTAACAGTCATTTAAAACAAGGTGAAATATTTTTAATTGTCAAAACTCACTAGATTTTTCAATAGTACTTTATGTATTTACATTGTTCAGACTGTTGTCTTCATCTTTATTGCCATATTCACAACATTTCGGCTGGTGTATGTTCCAGCCTTCTTCAGGTGATATACATTGGAATTTCAAACTGAACACTTTATTTAATCTACAGAGGTAGGTTCTAATTCCACGTGCCATGTCCTTATTTGGATATCTCGGTTTCAGTTAATTCGATTTAGTAACTCAACTCTCCAAGTTTTTGTTTCCTCTTGTTGTGGCCACAACTATTTGAGACAAGTCACTTTTTGGATCACTCAACCAATGCTTTTATTCACTGGGCTATGGAAAAGGCCGAAGTGTACAGCGACCGAAACATTGTGAAGACAAAAGTCCGAGCAATATAGTTTCAATACCTCATATTAGAAAGATAGACAGTACTTCATGTCTCACACACACACACACACATTCTTAAAACATTCTGAGGATTGATTTAGGAATGAAGCTTGACCATTATAAAGTTCCATGTCTCTTCAGTCTTGGATAGTTTTCTTGCTCTTTTCTAGATTGGTTTTCTGTTTCAGATTTTCCATTGAACACTTTCTTTTTTGCTAAGTAGATTTCTTAGTACTTGTTTTTGTATATCAGGCTCAATTTGTTTATTCACATTTATTTTTTCTCTCTCTCTCTCTCTCTCTCTTGGTGCACACACAAGAAATAATTACTAAATTGAAATATAACTTCAACTGTTTAGTAAAATAAAAAAAAACATGGATAGCAACTCCAACATGTGTCCACATAAAAAATAACATTTACAGCAAGAAGAAATAATGTGGGATAAACAATCCTTTCCAAAATTAGTTTTCTTTGTTTCAGCTATGAAGCTGAAGCTAGCAAATATAGTCATAGAAGTCTCAATAAATTCTTTAAATTAGTAATTCAAATCTTTCTGTATCAACATGGTCTCCATAGAAAGATTGGTAAAAGGCATATTTTGAAAGATTATATATGGTGCCTCAAATAAGTGAGAACAAGCTATAAAATTAAAGATATTCAATAAAAAAAAATATTAGTATCTATGCTAAATAATTTGTGCACATGTTCAACTTCTCAATAATATTTAATGTTATAGACAAGTGTATGGTTGCAAGAAAGAAATGACAACAGCAGAAATAGATTTACGTGATTTATTTCAATAGGAACATGTGGGTTTGGGACAGCTACCTTGTGGTATAGTTCCTAAGCCGGCTGTCGACCTGGGTTGAAAATCTCATAGTAGTTCTCACTGGTTGGCGTGGCGCTCCTCCTTCTGACTGCCCAGACTGACCATGACAGATCTCTTCCCTGGCCTTCTGTTGACTGCTCTTGTACTTCCCCATGTGACCCCTTTTATGGTGTTTTTTTATTGCTTAACAGGCTCGAAAAACAATGCGAGTATAATTAGGAGGGAAGCATTTTTATTGGTCAAGAAATAGGAACACTTTAAAATATTATTTTTTTGACCAGAACTTGTGCATCAGGCCTATGTGTAAACGACGATAATGGTCATTTTGTGACAGGGCCTTGTCCTGTTCACATCTGGCTCTCGCTCTTGAGTATGTTAGTTTATTTGCCTGCAAATCAGCTGAGATATGTCTTATTTTATTTTATAACATTAAGTTGTGCTCTGTCTGCAGACAGCTGCAACCGAGTTAGACTCAGTACACAGTCACAATTCACCCAAGAGCAGGTACAACACTACAAGAGGCAGAGAGATATGGTGACTGCAATAAAAGTGACATTTTCTGATTCACAGTATCGAATGACAGAACTCCATTTTTCTGATTCACTGTATTGAATGACAGAAATTGAATAAGGTAATCGCCAAAAATCCAGTTACCATAAATAAAATAACATTGTCTGCTGAATTATTTTAAAATTATTATAAAGAGAAATGTTCGTAAGACTGGGATTTTGCTAGTTTTATATCATTTCTGGCAATTCATTTAAGAGAAGGAAAAATAAGTTAAAACCTCTGCTGCCTTGTTATACTTTGGGAGAAGAAAAGCTATGTGAGCAAACCTAAACAGAAAATCCAGATTGGAGCCCCTAATCTGGTTGAATAGTAATGTGTGACTTTGTTCTAGTGGCTCCTGCAGTTAAACTGATGCCAAACATTTGGCTCTGAGTCCATTTGGACTACATCAACAAGACTGCAAGGGGCATCCTGTCAACTGGTATTCTCAGCATCCTTCTGCCAAAATGTATTTCTATTAACACAGTTACAACTAAAACATATGCATATGTCTGAGAATGAGAAAAATGCTATACTAGCTTTAAAGCTGCCATATTGGGCAGCATTTAAGCAAGCTCCTCCTATTATTGTATTAATATTTAAGCTTACCTTTACCGTTCAACAATAATTCTTCTGCTGCCACTTAATTTAAAGACAATTTGATGTACATACAAACAATTCTGTAAAAACAATTATTTTTATTCCATGGGTGACTTTCACTTGATTTCACAATTAATTTCAATTATTCCTAATTTATTTGCAAGTTATAAAAATTGTTATCATATAAAAATCTTCATAGCAAAAAAAAATCACATGAAAAGTCACTGAAAACAATCACAGAGATGAAAACTTGGGAATCCAAAATTTCAGGATTGCAGATACGGATCTGGCCCTGAATTTTTTTTTTTTTAATTTGCTCATGAAGTCAACCTGATTCCAAAATGGTATGATGTTTTGGGGGTATGACCACTAGGAATGAAGTTGAAAAAGTGTGACACGCTGACATTTCCATTTATTTATATAGGCATTTGCATTTATTTATATAGACATTTGTGTTTATTTATATAGATATCAACAATTGTATTTTTGTTCTATGTTTTTTTCTGTCTACAATTTGATCATTATTTTAATTCTAAATTTATTTGACAGGTGGACATCTGCATGGAAGAGTTAGGTACTAATGTCCAACCATCCGTGGCTTTGGCTGCTGACATCAAAGTAGTTGTTAATCAGGTTTGTTCTATACTTACAAACTGAGCCATATACTATACAAATTTAGTAGATAAACATTATCAATTATTTTTTGAATATATTACATAAAAAATGCAATTTATTTGTATTAAGATATGCTAAATACCAAAATGGAAAAAAACCTTTAAGTAACTAGTTTTATGCCCAGAAGAAATTTTTTCAAACTAGTAATGTTTTGTTGATCAAGTTAGCCTCATATATATATATATATATATATATATATATATATTAAGGAAAGGAAAAATTTAAACGAACTTTGGTTACAATTTTACTTTGAAATCATGGATGCTAATCTTTAAATTTAAAATGTTGAACTTCATCCAGTCTATCCAAATGTTTTAATGTAGGTTAAGTATAATTAAATTTCAAAACTTAAAATATTATTATGGATTACTTGCAATTGCATGCATGAGTCCCAGTATAAATAGTTATACATAATTATTGACAGATTTTTATCATTGTGATATTTTTGCATTATATCAAGTATTATGAATATAGTAACTAGGGTTTGCAAATTGGAGGTGAGTTATCAATGATAATTCTCTAACTTCAAATCCGTGATTATCTCCCTGTAAAATCTCTTATTTTTATTTTAAAATGTACTTTTTATCACATAAAATTTGGTGATAATTCCAAAAATATGTGCCAGAGAAGAAAGGTTTGGGAATCTCCGGTATAAACATTATGTTTTAGTGGCAGTGTTTATAGTAATAATAATAAAATACCAATTTAAAAAAAATAGAATACATTAATTGCTTAGAAACTACTTTATATTTCAGATACAATAATAAATTAGTAGATATAGGCAATGAAATATCCCAACAAGAGATGTTTGTTTAATGGCATATCGGCTCCTTATGGGTTATTTAAAGCTGAAATTTAATTTTCTTGGGAGATTGGGTAATTTTATTTAATTTTCTTGGGAGATTGGGTAATTTTTTTTTTTTTTTTTTTAAATCTATTGCTGGCATTTTTTTTTTTTTTTTTTTTTTTTTAACTATGAAAATGTATTTTTATACTTTGTGTTTTGACCCCAGTTTGGTGGGTTTACTGCTCATAGCTGGGACCCTAACAGGTCCTACCAACCTGGATCGGATCTACTTAGGAATAACAGCAATTACTTGCTGCCATATGTAGTTTATCATCATATCCAGGACATAAGAGATGTGCATTTCTCACAAAGGTAATTCAGCCATGCTTTGCTATGAGGTTGCTTGTGGCTGAACAGTTAAGCATATCTACCTTAAAATTTACTGCTCAATGTGTTGTCAGTTGGTGATGCCATACCTTCCACAGACCCCTACTACTAATAAATACTCAAGGCAGCTGAAAGTGAAAGTGATCAGTACCATACTTAGTGAGAAAACTTCCTCATTCATTTTTCTCATTGTCTTTACTGCTTACCAGTTCACACTCCTTTCCAGTCTTTTGAACAGGAGTAGAGATTTATCCCTTGTTTCTTGCTTAGGATTGGGTTTCTGGTTCCTTCTAAAGTCTTTTCAAAGAAACTGGGATGTCTACTCAAGTACACATATCCAAAAATTGACATTTTGTAGTCTAATAACATTCAAGTTTTAACAAAATGTGTAAAAACTAAGTTGAATGTGTGGACTTATGTCAAAGAGAATCTACCGGGAAAATGGATTGGATGTGACAGTGTTAATGACAATATATTGTTGAGATGGCCACCACATTTACCTGACTTGACACCTTGTGATTTTTTTCTATGGGGCTATGTGAAAGGATAAGTCTATATCCCCCTCTTCCTACAAGCCTAGAGGAACTTAAGCAGAAAATCACTGAGGTTCTGGAGAATGTTACACAAAACCTGCTACAGCATGTTCAGCAGGAGCTGATCTATTGACTTGATGTGTGTCATGTTGCAGATAGTGTGCATATTGAACATTTGTGAAGCTTTTTGAAATCGGTTATTGTTGAAGCTTAAATAAGCATGGAATAATACAACACAAAATGTACGTTAACAAAATGTATTGAAACAAAGAATAGGTACACAATATTTACAGTTAGTTTGGTATATTCTTGGGAAGACTGTTCCTGCATAATGGGTTGACTAAATCGCAGTCGGGCAGAGTCTCTGGATTCAATTTCTTAATCTCTACTATCTTCCCCGTCTTCCGGTACCAACCCATATTTATATGGTCGGTAGTCCGCTTATGTAAATTAGGTGTATCATACACAACAGTTATAAAAATCTATATCCCTGTGAATATCTTGTTTAAATTTTGATAGGCTTTATGTCGAACAATAAAAGATCTATTTAATTTTGTTTGCCTGGAACATGTAGTTACTCAGATATTCACATTTTAAATGATGTCAATTTTTTAGGGACATCCTGTGTAATGTTTACAACAATAAGATAAATAATTTCTGTGACACTTTTATTCATTTTTGATTAGTATCATTTTTCAAAGTAATTTTTGTTACTTGTCATTGCAACTAAATGAATGAATCCCCTGGTGGGTTGCTTTGTGGATCCTGTAGACTGATGTAACAGAATCATAAACAAAAAACTTTACAAAATAACAGTGCATCATTTGAATACTTCCAACAGCAGCAACAACTAAAATGGATAGCACATGTAAATCGAAGAAAAAAAATCAGGATGTTGACTTTCCAAACTACTTTCAACAAAATGTTAGGAAGAAAATTCCCATCAATACCAGAAAGAGCAATAACAGAGATCTTGAGAAATCTGTTTTCCTGAAAAATTGTTTTAAGAGAAAGATTTTATAAATTTCAATTGACAGTGATGCTGTTTAGTCAAGGAACACAGAATGTCTCCTTATAAGGAAACGGACAATTTTACTATTACCCAGACTATCAGTCTAGGGCCATGATTAAATAGCACAGCAGTTCAGAAATAAAGAATACACTCTTGATAAAAATCAAATATAGACGAGCAAGTGAAATTAAGATGAAAGAAATACCATAAAAAATAAACAAGGTTTGGCAATGCTTCAGCCAATAAAAATTAAAGATATTAATACTGTTCTGTCAGCCTCACATTCTTTTTTTTTTTTTTTTTTTTTTTTTTTTTTAGGTAAATCAGCTTATTATTAAGGGTGGATCAATGTGGGTCATATTATGATGGTTATTAAATCTTGATCTGAAATTTACACTGGATAATGTTTGGTCAGTGTAATTAATAGTGAAATATTAAGTTAAGAACATTAATATGTAAGGAAATAGTGTTGATGAATATTTGAGGGGAAAAATAGACTTTTCCCCATTATTAGGCAACTGACTTATTGATTCACAGACCATTATGATTCTCAGGAGTTCACTTCATATTTGTGGCCTTGTGCCAGCCAAAACTACTTATAAAATTACTATATTATCATACATGAGAGCATGTATAAAAAATTTCTGGGAGAAAACTAAAAAACGTTAAAAAAAAAAAAAATTTATGCCATTTAAATGTTATCAATAATTTTTTTTTATTTTTTAAATATGTTTAACCTAAGAAAATTTGAAAACCTCTAAATAATATAATCTTTCCAACAACTCATATTATTTCTGTTTTACTTTTTCACATGTAGATGTGATTTTTACACATGTACAAGTGAGTGCTGAAAACTCTTCAAACCAACCAAGATGATTCTTCTTCTAAAAAAAAAAAAAAAAAAAATAGGGTCTTGTTCTTCAGATTGTTGGGAAATTGGTTTAACTGAGGACTTATCAGCACCCTCTCTCCCACACACACTCAAAAATGTTTTTATTTTCCCCATTGACAATACTGTTTCATGCTAAATGATTTAAAATGAGTAACAATTCTTAAACAACATTTCCAAGTTTTACTGGTCTTCATTACAAGTTTTCTAAAAGGAATCTGTTGGCAGGTCAGCAATTCAAAAATAATTTCTCTCTGCTTTTATTCATCAGACAATGCATGAACTTCTATGTAATTTTTCCTCCAGACATAGATTGCAATGCACACACATTTTTTTTTTATATATATATATATATATATATATATATATATATATATATATATATAGAGAGAAAAAAGAGGTAAAAAGTGCTCAAGATCAGAAGTAGATTGTGTGTAAATATAAAATATAAAAGTGGACACTTAGGTCAACAATAACTAGCAACAGTATGATTCATGCAATCATCAGGTTGTAATATATATATATATATATATATATATATATATATAAAGAGACGATCCTTAAAAATCCATTTTAATTATTATTTATTTTATGAATATTTTTAAATATTCATCTCTTCAGACCAAAGTTTTTTTAGAAACGAAATCAATTTTTCCAGACAAAAGGGAAAGGAAAAATTTTTATAAAAAAAAAAAATTCAATATAAAATTAAAAAAAAAAAAAATTGAGTGTAAGGTGTGTATGTATATATATATATATATATATATATATATATATATATATATATATATATATATATATATATATATATATATATATATATATATATGTCTGTATAGTGAAAAAAAAGCTAAAAGCTTAAAATAAGCTAAAAGTTTAAAATATAAAATTAACTGAAGGCCCAATGCCAAAATCAACAGCCTAAATATACCAAATACCAAATCTGTTACACCATTTCATGCAATGGCAATCATCAGGCAGAATTCTTGATGATTACCATTGCATGAAACTCCAAGTACCAGATTTGGTATTATACAGGCTCTTTCAAAAATACATTTTACAAACTTTAGGAGCAGAATCCTCACAGCAAAACAAGGACAAAAGCCTGCATAAATATATATCTTCAAATCCTTCATTCTTGAGTTATTAAGTTGAAACAAAGTTTACAGTAGAAAGCATTATATTACCAGGTTGACTAGGTTACATTTGTCATTCATGTACATCTGTGGCTAGTCTGGCTTCAGCTGATCTCTTGCTGATCGATGGGTCGTTAAGTTTTAAACAAACTGTCTTCAGCATTTAATGTGTATAGTAGTGAGTTAACTGAGAAGTGTTTCATTTAATGGTAGGATATTCATATTGTGAGTGGGCAGACATGTTTTTACATATATTAGATTGTGTTTCCAGACTGAGTCATCCAACCTTTGCTGCTGTTTATCATCACATTGCTGAGACAAGATCCATGGCACCACAAACTCTGGATCAAGGAAGACCGAGATCCACTTGTGCGTCTGACCATGAAGAACACATTCTACAAGTTGTCAAAGACAATCCAGATATCAGCTAATGTCAAGTAGCTCTAGCATGTCGTACATATCATAGTACTACATGGAGGGTACTTCAAGCGCAGCTCCTTTATCCATATCAATGTGTGCTGGGTCTTTTGCCCTCTGATCACTCACCCCAGGAGAACTTTTGCTGATGGTTTATTGCACAAACTGCTGATCTGTTGCTTGTCTCTTCAGTCTTGTTTACAAATGAGGCATCATTTGGAAGAGAATAATAAATTTACACAACCGACATTTGTGGGTGGGGATTGGAATCCCCATCGTACAATATAGGCTAGACACCCACATCAGCTTATGATTAATGGGTGGGCTGGAATTTTAGGTGACTGTTTGGTAGGTTCATACATTCTCCCAGCACATCTTACAGGAGCTGTCTACAGGGGCTTTTTTTCGAACACACTTCCAGACATGCTAGAGGATGTACCCTTGCTAATACAAAGATGCATGTGGTTCATACATGATCGAGCTCCAGCACATCTTAGTCACATTGTTCATGATGCATTGGCTGACATCTACCATGAAAGATGGATATTTAAAAAAGGACCAGTTCCATGACCTGCATGTTCCCCTAACCTCAATCCTTTGGATTTTTAACTGTGGGGCCACCTAAAACAATTGGTTTATGCAGCAGACGTTAATAATGCAGAAATGCTTCAACAACACGTTATGTGGGGGGAGGGGGGCTACAAAACCATTTGACACTATGTGGGAGTATTTAAAAGGTTTCGTCAGTCAATGATCCAAAAATTTTGTGTATACTGGTGTAGGACATTTTGAATATTTCTTATGAGTTGCTGTGTTGAGGTACAATGATATGTTTATATGGACGTTTGTCCTTTTTTTGGTGTGGGGAATTTGCCCCCAAAGTTTTTAAAAGTATTTTTGATACACCATATATATATATATATATATATATATATATATAATCTCTTTAGTGGATCAGTTTTAATATTTTATATTAATATATATAAAATCTGTCAGTAAGTAATCCAAGTAGATCCTATTAATATAAAATATTAAAACTGATCCACTAAAGAGAGCTCAATATATTCATTATAGAGCATATGAATGAATTACATAAAAAAGAAACTTAATTGTACCCAGTATGTCCATTTCACTCCTTGTGAGGTTTCTCTCAGAGAAATTCCCTGGAGCTTGTCAATTCAAATGTTTTAGTATTGACAAACTCCAGGGAATTTCTCTAAGAGAGAAATCTCTTGAGGAGTGAAATGGCCATATAAATGGGGTACAACTGAGTCATTTTTATATAATTATTAGTCCAGCCTAAATCTTGCATGATCATTTGCAGATGTAACACTTGAACTGTCCATCTTTTGAGGACACTGGCTGAAATACATTTTTGTATATTTTGGAATGTTTGGTTAAACACATACTACATACTAAGCCACACATGGTGGATGTGATCGCAAATCTTCTTGATAACTTCTTCACCCTTGTGACTTTAGATGATTTACCAAACCTGCTCTTGAGAGAAAAAAGCATCCAGACACATACCACTTCGATTTCTTTATTTCCATGCTAGGCCTACTCAGGAGATCCTCATAGCCTAGCATACAATATGACATCCATTATTAAATAAAAGAAAAGAAAAAAGAAATGATAGTAAGGCCTCAGCATCAATAAGAAGTGAAACGTTGGTGAATGCAGTCAAGTGTGACAAGCATCAGTCAAATTATGTTTAAGGCTCCAAATTCTACACTCAGAAATGTCCCACAGAACACTGGCCTATTGGATTAAAGTGTCAGTTCATGAATTTGGTGACTTAGTGAGTCCAATCCCTGGTTACCAGCTCAGACTCTGTGGAAAATAGGGAGAGCAATAACTGAGCAGTACTAAATCAAGAACTAGATGAGATATCCCTAGAAATGACCATGGAACAAAAACAATCTGTTAGATTAATTCATTTCAAAATTACCTGAAGGTTACCTGGAAAGGCCAGAGGGTGCAAGTAACAAAACACAGTAACAACAAAAAAAAATGAATCATAGTCCAAATGTAAATAACTCATTTCAGTAATTCAGGCAGAAACCAATTTTTTTTTTTTTTTATAAAGTTTTAGATAATATTCAAAATTTCAAAATCCAGGCATAAAGATTTTTTTTTAGTGTGGGGTGGGGGTCTTTTTAATAATTTGTAATTATAATGTATTACTATACTAATGTATTATTATAAGTTATATTGTTATTATTTTTGTCAATTCTGTTTCTGTAATCAAATCCCTATCAAAGGCAAATTTGCATGAATTGCTTTTATTTGGACTTCTTTGCAGCTAAATACAGAACTGAAAAGACATGCAGGAAATTTCTTCTTTGATCAAAACAGAAACTGGTGGAGTGATATTCATGTTGCCATAAATAAGAATAAAAGCCAAGTGAAGGTAAGTTGCATTTTCAGGATGAGCACAAAGTCTTTAGGATTTTCAAATGGATTCACATATACCTCTGACCACAGAATACAGTAGATTAATACCAGATGATTCCAACCATAAGGTTTGGTTTGGTTTGGTTTATTTTACAGCATATCAACCTCAATGGGTCATTTAATGCTGACAACTTTTTTTTTTTTTTTGACTGGTAATATTTTTGTTTTGTCAAAAATCTATTTCTGGTAATATTTTTTCCTCAGAATTGTATAGCTGGTAATATTTTCAAAAACGTATTGCTGGTAATATTTTTTTTCTTCAAAAATTTATTTCTGGTAATAATTTTTTACAAAGTATATCTGGTATTAAAACTTATTTTTACATTTTCATAATGCTTTTAATGCTTTTTATCTCAGTTTCGCCCATAGCTAGGACCCTAACAGGTGCTACCACCCCAGGTCAGGGTGGACCTGGGAAGACCAGCAATTAAGAGGTGGTTCCACACTCCTCAAAGCCTCCTGATCAGATGCCTTGCTGTTTATCATCTTACCCAGGAGGCAGATGTAGTTTATCATCATACCCAGGATGGCCATAAGGCTTGTTTCTTCTCTTAATTTTTTTATTTTTTATTTAAACTGGTACATGATGCCACCTCTGACTCCACATGATGCTCTCATATTGCTGTACAGCCAGAATCTTAGGTCAAGAATATTTTCTATAACAAAACCTTTCTTTTCCTATGATGATACATTTTGCATGATACTTAATAAATCTTCAAAAAAAGAAAATTTTAACCTTTTAAATTTTTCTTTTCTCTACCAAGGCTACACACCAAAGCATTATCTCAGACTTTTTTTTTCTATAGTATTATCAGTAATTTTTTTCTATAGTATTATCAGTAATTTTTTTCTATAGTATTATCAGTAATACTCAATTTTGGGAAGCACATATCTAAAATGATAATAAAGAAAAAGATAATTTTGAACAAGGACCTTGTACCCACCCCCCCTGTACAATTACAATGGCCTGGGTTATTTTTTTTATTGGCAGTGATGTCTTAAATATTTTATATTTAAACAGTATTTTTTAAAGATACAATGTAAACATATAACATGACCTGAGACCTAACTTCCCACCAACTGGCCAATGATTACGCCATGTTGCATTTTGATTCTCAATCTTGTTGGTGTGCACTGCAAGCTAGGAAAGAGCCTGTTGCCTGCTCACAAGGTAACAAGTTGGAAGGCAAATGCCACATTGAGTAATGTTGATATCAACCCTGTTTCTGATATTATGAAATTGATGTTTAATTCAGGATTCTGCCTGCTCGGGAAGGTTGGTGACACTGGACAACTTCTGCTATGTGGATCACTTCCTCATTACCTATCAACTCCTTACCCATCTACTTATCCTAACACGTGATTGGCAATCCAAATGGACAGCATCAAAACAAGGTCAGACCAGAACTGACTCCAATTACAAGCATGACATTAATATAAACCAGCATTTGGATACACTCCGTTTCCAATTTTGTTATCATTTGATCTCCAAAAACCCCTCATCCACTCGTTTACTCCCCTGTTCCCTTTCAGTCAAAGTAGAGGCCATTTATTTCCTTTTGAAGTCTAGTTCTCTATATGCTGGCTATGAAACAGAAACTCTTGAGATTGAGATAAAACCACATCTATTTCTACATTTGTATCCATAGTATTACAATGCAACATAAACTTAAATATAGTTTAAAAATGTAAATTGAATACGTGATGGAAATTTTTCTGTTGTGTATTTGTTTGTCTGTGTGAATCTGTGAGTTGGATGCACTTTGCAAAGATTGGAAAGTGGAATCAAGCAACATACCCCATTGTATTCCATTGCAAAAGATGCAGGAAAAAATGGTCATCTCCTTGTATCATTCCAGTAAGTACCTGACCACATGCTATCCTCCACCTCGTCATATTTGGGCAGGAGCTTCCCTGTTCTCAATTTCAAGTCTTAATAGAGTCCAAAAGTGTCTCTGACTCCTTGTGGGTGATAGATTATTTTTCACCTTCCAAACTCTCTCTCTCTTACAGGATATGGCAAGCCTCTCACTGCTCTATTGCTATTTCCATGGAAAGTGCTCTGACGAATTGCATTCCTTGGTTCCACTAGTTCTAACCTTCACAGCTAGAACCTGACATGCCATTCACATTGTATCAAATCACCCACATTCCTAGCATATTCTATTGGTGAGAAATAAGTTCCACTCTAACTTCCCATGAACCACTGCTCTGTGAAACTAACTCCTGAAAGAAGGATGTTTCCCCAATTACTACAATCTTAACCTGTTCAAGTCTATGGTTAACTGTTATCTTCCTCCTATCTGCATAAACAGCTTCTTAATATAACCCTCTAGCTCAAGTGGCCCATGAGGTGAACTGTACTGTAAAAAATAAAGAATAAAAGGCAAATACTTTCACTCTGGCATGACCTGTTTGGTGTTTTTGTTTACAAAATCAAAAAAAATACAGACCACTAAAAAAAAAAAAAAAATGAAAAACATCATGTATAACTGTATATATTTTTTTCTTTTCAACTTTTTCAGTTGCTGTGTGCAGATCAAAGTTTGCCCATGAATTATTATTGTGCTTTTTCTCAGGTAAGCCTAAATTATGTTTATCTATTCATTTATTCATGTCAACTTACAAAGGGATACTGAAAAGTCCTCAGCTCAATCCAGAAGCCCTTATAAAAAAAATTTCTGAATTTGGTCTAATTTTGGGAAGTGTATTAGACTGAGAATGTTGCAGCATCCAATCATATATGTGTGTGTGTGTGTGTATATATATATATATATATATATATATATATATATAAAAGTGAACATAGAAGTCAACAGTCTGTTTCATGCTAGATGCAATCGTCATGATGATTGCATATAGCATGAAACACTGTCGCCTCTAAATGTTGACTTCTATGTTCACTTTTAGATTTACACACGCTCTATCTCTGATATCGAGCACTTTATCCCATAAATATAGCACACCTTAAGACTATATTTCTTCATATATATATATATATATATATATATATATATATGTATATATGTGTGTGTTAGGCACCTCAAAAGCTAATTCTTATTTTTATATTTTACAAAAGTTTTTAATGTTTTTGTTTTTTGTGTACCATCAAAATAAATTTTCTAGTATGTTTCCAAAATACTTATTTTATAAACACTTAAAAAGCCAAAGAAAACTTCTGAATTTAGCTCTTAGATATGTTGCTGACCAGCATGCTTTCCTTTTTATTTTCTACCTACAACTGTACATATTATTATTGACAGATGTCAGGTTTTGTGAAAGTATTTTTTCTTTTTGTAAAAAAACAAAAAAAAGAAATCAGTATGTGTGGGTTTTTTTTTTTGTTTTTTTCAATAGCAACCAAAACAGAAAAAAAACCTCTTATTAGAACTGAATTGAAAAATTCTTGTGGTTTCAAGGGACAATATTGAAATGTCAAATTTGTGATATCAATTTTATCATATTTTGTCCTGGATTTGTAAATGATAAAATATGAATATGTTTGAAAAAGTTTTATATCAAGAGTGATTAATTATTTATTTGAAATTATAGCACACCAATTCTTTTTAGCAAACAACAGATGACTGTCCTAACAATACAGTTATTCTATCTCTTTATTGCCTCATGTTGTACTTGAATTTTTGTTATAATTAGCTTATTACACAAATTGGTGAATTAATTGGTATTAAACTTTCTCACTAGTTAATAAAGCATGGTCAGTAGTAATATTACTTATTTCCTTATAAGGAAAATAGGTTTCTTATGTCCCCTCTTCCAGTATTAATTGGAGAATCCTTCCTAAACCTTAGAGTATTGTAGAAGTTTTCTCTTCAATTTATATGTACTATCCATTTTAGTTTTTGCTACTATTCAGTGTTTCAGTGATGTAGTTGCTTTTATCTGGATCTTTGTCATTCTGTAGAACAAGTCTACAAGTTTCCAAGAAAGATGGTCCTCACTAAGACCTGTAGGCTTCATTTGCTTGAAGACATTTTTACCCATTGATTTTTAGAAAGCAGTTGCATACAGCTGACAATAGAGATATGGTGCCATGCATGACATCTGTATGAAAGGCTATTTAAAAAAAAATGACTCGAGTTTTCAAGTTGATGTTTTTGTCTTGTAGCAATTTGTGGTGCTGTGCAAAAATACCCCTAATGCAGTCTTTTTTTATGTTTAATTTCTTTATATATTCTAAGTTTGTTATAACTAATCCATACACCAAGGTATTTGAAGTGTTTAATATTTACTAATTTTACATCCATAATGTTTATAATTCATTCAGAGTTGCTTTCATTCCAATTCCAGATCATAGTTTCTGTTTTAGAAAGGTTTATGTTGAGACCTATGTCTTAAAAAAAACTTGCTAAATGTTGATTTAAATGTTTTTTAGATCATTTTTATCCCAATTCTGAATATCCTCTGTCATTAGCATAATCCCCACCCCCTACATCATCAGTACATTGGCCTCAGGAGGGAAGGGAAGAATGCTATCAATCTTAACATATCCTGACTTTATGGTTTATCAAAAAACGCCCAGACATTCTTATGCAACTCACCATGTCTAGCATTGGAAGTCCTCCCCATAGTCTAATGAAAACTATAGCAAAAATTTTAATCTAACTTCTTTGAACAGTTTCCCTTTCACAAAATAAAAATTCTGAAAGACATAAATATGAAAGATAAACTCATAGCTATATTTAAATGTTAAATTCCTATACACTGACATAACAGTTAATAAATGCTTAAGTTTCCAAAAGAAACATCTATTAAAATGAAAACTTAACTTCTGTTTTGGAAAGGTTCATCTTGAGTCCTATTTCTCAGAACACTTGTTTTTTTTTTTCCTAGATCAGGTATTCATAGTTGGAATAAAACTATGTCATCAGCATAGACCCCCCACCTTAATTCCCCTATTAATAGACCCTTTATCCAATAAACTCCTTCCAGTGAAAATGGTTTCATTCTTGTAAAAAGACAAATTATCTTCCATTTGATTTGTGTATCTGTGCATTTTTTTTTGTATTTGAGTAAAAAGAATGAATGATTTATATTTTGAATTTTAATGTACATTTTAAAAAATCTCTTATCTAAAATGGAAACCAGATACATTATAGAATATGAATTTTTTTTTTTCTCATTGAATAGTATTCTAGACATTGCATATATCCTGGAATAAGTGAGTACTAAAAGCCAAGTTTCCAAGAGGACAAGTGCTGAGACAGTATAATATTAAAATAATATATTTGCAAGTAATGTCAATCACATTACTATTTCTGTATTGAATCTTATAACCTCTTAACTATTTCTTCACACATCATGCATGGCTGGTTTCTCAGCGGTAGTGTCTCTGTTCATCACTCTTGCCGTCTTTCCTCTTTCTTCAGTCAAGGAAGCCCTCCACTCAACAATGACATGCCATTGCTGTACTGAATATACTGCCAGCAGTTCAGTCCACGTACACATTTATCCTGGAGCCAATCAAAACTCACTGTAGTTACTTGACTGTTTGGCATAATTCCAGTTTATGTTTTTGGCCCTCTCTAAAGGTGCCACACACCAACTTCTGACCCATTATAAACAGGACCATTTAAGAAAAATGGCAGCAATTATGGAACAACTGTGTAACAATAAACTTCTCAACATCCAGCCAATCCTCAGTGAAAGATTGTCAATTTCCAGAAAGATAAGAGAGGAGATGGTTCTAACCAGACTCTGTATAGGACACACATACATAACCCACCAACATTTACTAAAAAATGAGTAAGCGCCAATATGTCCCATGCCAGGAACTATATGCTGTCAAAGACATTCTACTAAATTGCTGTAACTTCCAGCAAACTTGAATCAATCTCTACAAATTGGATAACTTAAAGGATTTATTTGAAAATATCGATCCAAATAACATCTTAAATTTCATTAAAGAAATTGGGCTCTACAGGAAAATATAAAAAAAACTGTTTACCAAATCTGCTTACCTACATTGTTTTGTAACCTATTTTGGAAGGAAAAATTATTTCCAACGATACCTTTTGACTCTCAACAAAATTCCTCTTTATGAAATATGTCAGTGAAACCTGATCTACAAAATGATTCCTTACAAAGGATACATACTCTATTCATACAAACATATTGGAAAAATCTTCTCAGTATTAATTTTTAGGTTGATGCGCTGTTAAACTGGATTTGGTTTGGTTTATTTAGTTTACGTTTACTAATAAAATATTAAATGAAGTAAAGTGAGAAAGGGAGAGACAAAATTATTAATGTACTTTTTATTTGTGTGTAAAATCTTCATTAAGACGGCAAATGAGCAAAAACCAAACAGAAAATGATAAATAACAGTCAGCAACAAAGACATATCTGATCACTCGACGTGCTGACATACAACTGAATTAAGTATCGGTTAAGTTAGTTTTAGCATCAAGCACAAACTTTTATGTGTAGACAACCTCCATGAAAAATTTTGTATTCATAGATTTTCAGTTTTTAGAATTTCTGATAAGAGATTGCAAATCTGTAAATGCATATTAATATTTCCAAATATTAAAAAAAATTTTTGACATTTGCTTCATCATCATCAGTCTCCTGACTGGCAGTTGTTAGAGGGTCACTGTGCAACCTCACACCTGCTCCCTCTGTATGTACTGGTAGGTATTCATTTATTCATGCTTAGCACGTCTTGGCAAAGTAGAACTGGTAGAGCTCATCCCTTTCCAGGTCAGACCACTGCAAATATCCTCCAACTTGAAGGCTCACCTTGGTCACAAACATATGGCCATTTATTACATCAAGGCAATTCTCTGCCCTAGCCATTGACTTCAGTCAAGGAAGCCCTCCACTCAACAATGACATGCCATTGCTGTACTGAATATACTACCAGCAGTTCAGTCCATGTACACATTTATCCTGGAGCCAATCAAAACTCACTGTAGTTACTTGACTGAACTCCTTACTGATGAGAACTGTAGAGACCCTACATCTGAAACTGCCTGGTGTAAATTCCTCTCTCTCGAGTAGTATACACATTCTGACCTTGTGTCACAACCTGACTCAGTTGGGGGTCAAGTAAATGCATACACATGAAGCTGCCTGTATGGCTCAGTGCCAGATGCAATGAACTAAGGATAAATTTGCATACATCTATTGAAATACAAACACAGAACTTCTTACAAAAATGTGAAGAAAAATTTAAATTCAAATCTAAGGCACTTGAAGTGTTTCAGGTAATTTAAGTTGTAGTGACTCCTGATAAAAATAAAATGTAAAGAATTCAAATTAAAATAAGGCATTTGTGTTTTCCTTTAAAACTCTTATCACTTTCTTTCTGTCTCTCTCTAAACTTCTCTTTCTAAACTTCTCTCAAGTAATGAGAAGGCAGCCCTCAAATAAAAAGAGGAAGAAGAAAAGGCTGAACCCGACCAAAATATGCTAGAAGTTTAAAAGGTCAGAGCCTATATATTTGTGGAAGATACCAAAAATCAGGGAGACTCCACACAACTCCCATTATAAAAAAAAAAATGATAAAGAAAGGAATTCCAGAAAATAAAATAATTTGGGCCAATCAAAATAATTGACACAAAGAGACTTTTGATGTCAGCCAAAACCAATGTTCCTGCCAGAATCTTGGAGCCTGGTCAAAACAAATATAAACTTTAGCTAGAAAGAGGAAAAACAGCAAGTGATGAACAGAGACACTACCGCTGAGAAACCAGCCATGCATGATGTGTAAAGAAATAGTTAAGAGGTTATCTGCTAATATTTCTGCACTGTATAGCCAAGTAAAACACTGACTGAATTTCTAATATTACTACTACCGCTATCATGGTCTGACTTCAAAAACTACCACCTCCAGACTTTCTCCAATCATATTACCAGTATCAGCCTTATTAACAAACTTTTTGCCATATCGAATACCAAGGGACTCACTCATCACTCTAAAGAAAATAAATAAAAATATTTATTTTAAATGCTTGAGTCAGTCCATTTTATTCCAAAGTTTCCAGTAAAGAAAATCTTACCACCTGTGCCCACTGGTTAGCTCCTGACATGAACCTACTTACCACAAAGTCAAAGTACTGATCTCTCTCATTCATGCCTTTACAAGTTTGGGAATCTGGTATTAATAAGGTAAAATGTTTCTTCACTTACAGATATCAGGACTGCTTGAAGGCCATGATACAATTGTGGTCAGTGAAGGTGCCAACACTATGGACATTGGACGGTCAATGCTGCAAAGTTTGTTGCCACGACAGAGGTTAGTTGCTCAGTATTGTTCAATTCAAACATTTATTTTGATATATATATATATAATTTTTTTTTTTTTTTTTTTTTTTTTTTTATAAGAGTGATGGTTAACAAGTTAGTTTTGTAGGCTCTTGCTAGGGTTGTGATTTCAGTCTTCACTAAATGTCAGTTTCAGCTCTCTTGGGCTAAAGTAAGTAAATATATATATATTTGGGCTGGAAATTTGTGAGATGAATTGCAATATCTTGTTAGCTTTTTGTTAAAGTTCTGAGCTTTTGACTACCTTCAATCATTATTTAGAAAGAAAAAAATTAGATAACTCTCAGAACCTTAAGAAAAACAAATACAAACTTTGCACTGTTCGTCTTACATGTTCAACATCAGATATGGAAAGTAATCAGCCAAAAAGAAAAACAGGACTTGTTTGTTTTTAACAAAAAAATGAATAAAAATTCTACATACATAACATATCTCTTTTCCTAGTAAAACTAATACTGATACAATGTCAGATATTTAAAAGCAATACCAATCTATTTTTTTTTTTTTTTTATTAAAGCAATACAAAACTAAATTAGGCTGGCTAGGTTATATGTCTAGTCACAACAGGTATCAAAAATCTTAGAATTTAAAGCCTTGGCACTTTTATTGCAAAACTGTAACCAGCACTAGTTGTATTTCTTCCCCACCACTGTTTGCTTACTTGCTTTCTCTTTATCCTCATTATCAAGGGCTTATGTACCATGGACAATTATGGTTTTGAATTCAGAAGGGTCCCTCTCCCAGACTGGTTGCCAACCATGGCTAGATATCCCAGTCTGCCCTGCAATTTAATCTATAACCGGAGTGAGAAGAAATGATTCACCCTTTTCCTCAAGGATAAATATACAAGTGAATATAAAGAATATGATTAGAATTCAAACTTGGCACACCAATTTCTCATTCCAATCCACTACGCATTATATGACCTTCACATTCTTTCCATGACCCTTATGGAGTGGGAGCTAAACTGTCATTGGTCATTCCCGAGTTCTCTTCTGACCATTACCACACACACTATACATATATATATACATATATATATATATATATATATATATATATATATATATATACACACACACACTGGTCATTTTTTTCATTTTACTCTTCTTCAGACTTCCTCAACTCTTCTTGACATGGATTTGATATTCTGAAAAACTCTTTCAAAAGTTGGTTCAGTGCTGTTATTGCAATCCACAATTCTTCTAAATTGTTTGGCTGCATGTCCAGTATTCAAATCTCTCTTTCTATCACATCCCAAAGGTGATCTACAGGATTGAGATTGACTGACTCAGAAGACTCATTGCATTGTTCCATGAACCAATATACTTAATTTTTTTTTATTTTTGACACAATACATAGTCCTGCTCAAAGTGGTCACCAGATGATGGGAGGACTGTACTCCTAAACTGAGATACATAGCCAGCCATATTACCTTAAATGTAGGTTGCTTTCATTGATACCAAAGGTTTTAATATATCTAAAATAAATATTCTCCATATTAAGACACCAGCCTGAATGTTGGTATACGGCAGACCAGGCAATGTTTTCACAGTCTTCTATTGACCAATGTTTGTAATCATTAGCAAATTGTAGCCTCAGTTTTATTTTTGTTTGTACCTGCCAGAAGTGGCAATCACGTTTGCTACTGATGCTTGTCTGCTTCAAAGTTTCATGTGATGTGCATCCAGAGATGCTCTTCTGCATACCCCCCATTTGTCAAGAGTGCTTATCTTGTTGTATATTGCTGCTGAGCTCAAATGAGTGAATGAACACATATATATGAAAAAATATATATATCTTTATTGTTCAAGTTGTGGCAAATTGGTAGAGTGAGGTAGAATTACAAGGGTTATAATTGCGCACACAGGAATTGACAGTGACAAATCTCTGTCCAGATCAAGAATCAGAGTGGTTAAATAACATTTGGACACCTATGCAAATTCATGTGGCTACACCTTCTGGTATGTCACGTACATAACTTTGTGTGGCCATGCCTCTCCTACAAGCACGCACTTTCTTCCCCTCGGGACACCTGCACCCTGTTTATTTAACCACTAGATACATTTCCTGTTAATGCTATCACCAGTTCTGATTTCCACTCACACACTGATGCAGTGGAAGTAAGGCCGAAGGTCTTTCCGCAACCAATATCCAACAATCTGAACAACCGTTGACTTTCTGTCAGCTTGAACCAGGCTGGCCATTTTCTTCAAATCCCTTTCAATAACAAGTGATTTCCACCCACAGAATTGCTACTCACTAGATTTTTTTCTTTTTCTAACCATTCTCTGTGTGTGTGTATATATATATATATATATATATATATATATATATACACATACACACACATGTATATGTATAAGGTTAATGCCTAGTTGAATCGGACCAGGAAACAGTAGTATTAAAAAGTGCGCAATATATGTGTGAAAAAATAAAAGTAAAAATAACACAGAGCTTTTAACTTTAAAATTTTGATTTTTAACATTTATACACATACTTACAAATGGGATCCTTGACTTATGTCAGAGATCCAATTCTACAGTGCAGTGTAACCTGATTTGTAACATAGATCAGAACACATCTATATGAGAACACATATGTCTACCTTATACTTGGGAGCCATAATATAGAGCAAAAAGTTCCCAAAAAAACAACATAAATGAGAAACAACAAATGTAGAACAATCCAAGATGGCATACACAGCCAGTGAAGAAACAATGCCATCTTCATCATATAGCGGCATGTGACATTGTATTATGGGAGATGGTAGTGTAACTACGAAATGCCATTTTCTGATCGAACGTTACCGAGGACCTTCTGTGTGTGTGTATATATATATATATATATATATATATATATATATAATGTCTTATGTATGTGCATGTATATCTACATGTGTGTATTCACTGTACTTTAGTGCAGCAGACTGTAACAAGTGGAAGCAATTGATAATCAAGTGAAGAAAAAAAATACTCTGGTTTAGGTCCTCATAGATTTTTCATTCACCTGTTTATTTTCAACTGATTAAACTGTTTTATCTGTTGAAAGAGAAAAAAAAGCCTTTAGGCACAAAGATAAAATGAAAAGATTAAGACGATTCTTTATGGAATTCTTCTGTAGTTAAAGTTTAACAATTCCCCCCCCCCAAAGTGCTGGTCTTGACGATAAGTCAATGACTTTTCTATGACAAACATGATAATTTATTTAACACGCAATTCTCCCAAATCTCTTTTTGATATAAAGACTTCTTTTTAAAGAGTTTAAAAGGTAAAAATGGATTCACTGCATGAAGAGAAGAATCGGTGAACAGAGTTCAAGTTATAGTCAGTTAGTTACATGCCATGTGTGATACATGCTTAGGCAATCAAATATCTTTCGATACATGACTGACGAGGCAGATTTTTCTCCACAGTAGGTTGCCATTTCTTTCTGTGGTAGACCAGTTGCCATCCAAGGCTATAGAACCTGGTCTGTCCTGCTATTTATCCATAGCTGATGGAATAAGTTGTTTCATACCTTTCCCAAGGGTATTTAGCATGTAAGTTAATGTAATGAATTTGACTAGAATTCAAACTCAGCTCTCTGATTCCTCAATCCAAGTTGCTATCCGTTACTCCACTGTGCCTCCTCTCGTTATAGTTAAGGTAGTTTGTATTCACTTTGCATTAATACTCTTGCGAAAGGCATAAATTTACTTCTTCAACTATGGATAAATAGCAAGACAGTTGAAATGCCAAATATGGTTAAGTTAGCCAGGTAAGATTGCCCATATTTGATATCAGTCTAGCATTTTCCATTCCATAAAAATTAACAATTATTACAAAGATTGCAAACTTTAAATAATTTTAAGACCAGAATTTCAAAAGGAAAAGCATAAAATTTGGCTTACTCTTTTAAGGAATTTGTTTTTTTGATTCCATATAATTCTTGGCAAATATCCTTGACTCAAAAAAAGTTGTGATTTAAGACTTAACTTAGTCTTGAAAATTTATTTCAGATGGTCTGATTTTGTTGCAGCTTCTATGCCAAAAAACATTTCCAAGAAAATGACTTTTTGAAATGTAAACAGTCTTTTCGTGAAAGTATTTTGGATGGACAACTTTGAATATTTGTGACTTTTAGGTTGGCTCACTTATGCATTTTTTAACTTAGGACTTTTGGAGATCCTTTTAAAAATAAACTGGGATAATCTTGGTTACTAATAAGAAAGTTAATTCAAAATTTATTATAACTGAATTGTCAAATGTTCTGAATTCATTACTTTTAAGATCAGTCTAGCAACCATTTTTTTTTTTTATAGTTATGAAAAAGGTTTGAGGTAGCAAATGTTTATGAACAAGAAATACCTTTGAAGCTGTTTATATTCACTTAGTACCAATCCCCTTAAAAATCCATTGTAGGTGCAGGATGATGGGTTGGCTATATAAAAAAGACATGGAGCAACCCTTTTCAAAATGGGGATGCAAGGTGATGGCTTGGCTATCCAAAAAGGATATGGAGTAGTCCCCTTTAGCAATAGGAGAGAAGGGTGATAGAAATATAGTAAACTGTGTTGGTATTTTGGCCAAATCCATCTATATTCACTTAACACAAATATCATTTGAAAGGGCAAATTTCATGTCTCTGGCATGTCACAACGGTTGAACGTAGGTAATTGAACACTTTAGAGAAACCAGTTCCCCATAACTACCACTTGGGTGGAAATAACTTTAAAAAGATGTTGCACTACTTGTCACCCTTGACAAGTATCTGAATAAATACTTTAATTTTTTTCTTGTTTATTTAAGATTGGATGCAGGCTCATTTGGAACAATGGGTGTTGGCCCTGGTTTTGCTATAGCAGCTGCTATGATATGTAAATCTGATCCAGAGGTGAAACACAAACGTATCATTTGTGTGGAGGGAGACAGCGCCATTGGATTTTCAGCGATGGAGCTTGAAACTGCTTGCAGGTAAAGAGAAGCCTAATTTAAGTATGTCAATGTTCCAATACTACCCCAGTATTTTTATTTTCTTTGACAAAATTTGGAAATTGTGAGAATTCAGAACAAAGAAAATAATCTTGGCTAGAGCCAGGATATTTTTGAAGATTTCAATCTGAACAGAATATATTGATGGAAAATGTTTTATGTTTGGAATTCAAACAAAATTTTTAATTTGACAAATCAGCAAAATCTGAACAAACTTACTGCAGAGAGTGCTGTTACAAACTGCAGTGAGCAATATGTTTTTGTTTCAAGGATGCATTGCAAGAGAAAACTTGTTTCTTGGTAAACAAGTTGACCCAAGTGATCATTCTTCTACATGACAATGCTTGCCTTATTGCAAATGCAATGGAGCAATCATGTAACTAGGTTGGGAAATTCTTCTACATGTGATGTAATCTTCAGATTTGTTGCCTTTAAATTCACTTGTTTTGCTCTTTGTCTGGTTAGTAATTCCTCAAAGAAAACAAATTGTTTTATGATGGAATAGTTTACTAGAAAAGTGGCAACAAAGTGAAGGTGATGATGATGCTATGAATTTACATTAAAAAAAAAAAAAAATTAGCATTTTAAAAAGGAAAAAAAAGGCTAGAAATTTTTACATCAATTTAATATTTTCAATTTATTAAATTCACTTCTTTATCCTTTCCCCTTTACAGTTAAAGCTTTGTTCTTAAATTAAAATCTTTTAAAGATATTTTTGAAGTATACTTGTGGTTAGTTAATACTAACTACTTTCCAAAATATGCTGTAAACATGCTTTATAGAATAGAGCTTTATAAAATATGACCTCGGCAATTCAAGTTCCCTCTGTTTTCCCTTGAGATGTAAGCATGCTAAAAATTACCTATTGGCTAATATGGCACCATGACATTTGGGGTTTTTTTTTTTTTTTTTTTTTGGTTAAAATTGTTTTCCTATAAATGTAAGTTGCAGGTGCCATTTAATATAAAAATAGACCCTGGCTTGTTTACAGGATGGAACTTTAGTTGTCAAGGCAATATTTTTTTTAATATTTTATTCTAAAAGATTTTAAAAACTTTAAGCTATTAATTATTCTGTGAAAATTTTATTTCCATGCCAAATTCATTGTTAGCTATAAAAGACGAAAAAAAAATCAATTTATCATGTGAAAATGTTTGTGATCATAATTTTAAATCTGCACTCATAAAATTAGTAAGGGTTCAGATTGAAACTGAAGAATTTATAAATGAAAAAAAAAAATAGAAAAAAATATTTTCATGCTTGATTGTAAACAAGTCAATGGGTTTTTAAACACAGTCTCAGTATTTGTCTCAACAAAATTTCTCAATTTTCTTTAAAAATTAACTTTATTTTTCCTTGTAATTTCTTTACTCAGATATGAAAAAGAATCTAAAGCTGTAAATGTATAGACAAAATTTTTTACCATTGTTGTTCAGATAAAAGTTGAAGCTAAACTTACAACATAAAATCTCTAAAATTGTGTACTGTATGAAAATTTAAGAAAGATACTTGAAAATTCTTTTGTTCTTGTGCCATGGTTTAAATGTATCATATTGCAAATTGTTTTTGATACGGGATAATCAGTAATCAAGTCTTTATACAAATCACTTTCTACATCTTAAAATAGTATTAGGAAGATCTGAGATAGATATAGATATCTGTAAGGTGTTACCCAAAAGTTTTCAAACCATTAAAAAAAAAATCTTCATAATTACTTATAATAACACTTACAATTTCACCATTTCCTTCATTTTACCCTAGTAAATTTTTTCAAGATTTCATGCAAAGCCCTAAGTACAGAATAAGCCATTTATTGTGACCAATTTTGGACAGTGTCTTTTAGATAACATGTTATCATAAGAGGTCATTGTTATTATAATACTTTTATCTCAATACAGAGGAAGTTGCTTGTGATCACTTTGGGACTGTTTTTTTTTTTTTTTTTAAACAATAACTGGCTGATAATATTAAGCAATTTACATTCCTTGTTATAAATTCATTACAATAAACAACTTTATAAAAATACCTGAACTATGATTATAATAGGTGGATAATTTTTTTTATTTATTTGAAAATGTTTAGAACCAGTTGAATTTGATATTACCTGTGATTATAATAAACTATTTCTTTGATTTCACACACACACAATTCAGGAAATATACAATCTGTCTATGTATGTTGTAAAACAAAATATCTACACTATAATTAGAAATTTTATTTTAATAAACTTGGGTTTTTTGACCATTTCTCAGGTTACTTCATTTTTGTGCAAGAATTTGTCTATAAGTTGCTTAAATGGTTTATGCTTGAGTCTAATAAATAGAAAAGACATACATTTCACTGTAATTGAATTGATAGAATTCTTGAATACTGTATAAAATAACATTTAGTAACTCTTTGTCTATTTGGTATATTCCTTAAAAGCAAGGTTTAAAACATACAGAATTTACTATCAACTGTAAATTTCTTCATGTAAAATAGTTTACCACTTCAAAAAAGAAACTATTTTTAACTCGCCCAATAATAAACTACCATATTGCTTGTGAATGAGAATGTAATTTTTTTTAGCCTGTAAAATGTCTTTTTATGATTCTGTTATCAATTTTTTTATATGCCACTCTTGACTCTGTCTTTTTTATCTGTGATTTGCATTTTTTGTTGAAATGCAGAATTCATAAAGCTTCAATTTCCTGTTGGGAACCTTGAAACCAAAATTCTGTTTTCCACATCTTTGCCGCTTTTTGTTGCAGATATCAACTTCCAATCATATTTGTTGTTTTTAATAACAATGGCATCTACAGTGGCCTTGATGCAGAAAGTTGGAATTCTATTCCCGAGGCTGAGCTTGCCCTCGTGTAAGTTCATTTCTTTTTCTTTTTGCTGCTTAACAAATGTTGACATTCTGAAATTATTTTGAACTTTATAGCTGGCCTCTTCACGTTTACCATTTTCTAGATACTGCCAGTGAAAATACATGATAGACAACCATAAGCCTGATCACCTTTTATGTGACAAAAGTGAGATGAAAATGACAGTGAAGCTTAAAATAATAGATAAGAAAAATTTCAATTTTTTTTTTTTTTGTGCATTAAAAAAAAAAAAAAAAAAATTAACTTTTTTTTCTTTAGATTTTTAAAAGAAATAAAGTTAAGAAAAATGAGCCTTGGGGGTTACCTTTATGGTTGGCAACAGATATTGAAATTTATGAAGATGAACATAATGCAACTGTTAGCACATATCAAAGTTTACAATGCAAAATCTGACCAAATATCATTTTTATTTCCAGCCCTCTCACATTTTCCTGTGGAAATCTTTAGACACATTAATTTGCTTAGTTTTCATTTCTGTAAATACTGAAAATGTTTGAAAAGAAAAACGTTTATAGCAATAACTTTAATAAGACTTTGTTTGCAAACCTAAATTATATGAAAGTGTGTGTAACTTTTTGGCAGGGATTGAACCTATCCATTCCTTTTAGCTCAATATGCTTTTACCATTATCAGCCAGAGGATTCAATTAACCTGTTTAATAAGACTGATATCTACTAGAAACATTCACAATTTCAGTTTGAAAACCAGGGCTATCTAATGAAAAACCCACTATAACAGATTAAAAAAAAAATCAATCCATTATTTCTAAAATATATGCATGCACACATACTTTTAAAGAAGGGTTCAGAAATATTCAGTACCGTTTTGTGTATGTTTTGTCTATGGTGTATTTACCATAGCATGAATGCTAAACAGCATCACCTCAAAAAGTAATTTGCTGGTTTAATTGTCATTGGTTACTCTGCTAATTTCTGTACATCATGTAAAGAATAGGTATTTAAAAAAATTCTTTTTTTTTTCTTTTTTTTTTTGTAAGCCTTCTTAACATAGGTTTTTGTGATAAGATTCTATTATTAATTTAAACAGTTTCTTTTCTTTTGGTTAAGAGGAGGTGTTTAATTATAAAAACAAAACAAGACTTGTTCACTTATTACCCCAAAAGCTTGTTCTGAAACTTTACAGCCAGTATTCCATTTTCTGTTTAGCCATCACCATGAATCAATTTTTTAATAATAGCTTTTTCCATTCCACCCCGCCAGAGCTCCTCCAACAGCCTTAGCTCCAAATATCCGTTATGACAAAGTGATGGAAGCATTTGGGGGCAGAGGTTACCTAGTGAACACACCTGAAGAACTGCATCAAACATTTAAGGCAGCTCTGAATGATGACACTAAATCCTCTTTAATCAACATTCTAATTCATCCATTGGCAACAAGAAGGCCTCAGGTAAGAAAAATGATTTCTTTTTGCTTTTATTTGTTTTATCACTAAACTCTGCCAATGCAATAAGCGATGCTGTATTCTCAAAAGTTTTTACCTTCAGCCAAACTGGAAAAAAAAAAAAAAATCCTTTCAAATGCAGTACGTTGAGAAAGGCATGAATAGAAATAAAGGCCCCCCCCCACACACACAAACCTGGGAAAAGAATTCTGACACATCCTGTTGAAATACCAGTTCCTGTACACTCAAAGTTAAGCAATATCGGGCCTGGTCAGTACCTAGATGGGTAACCACTTGGGAATACCAGGTGCTGTAATGGATAATTGGAGAGCCTTATATTTACTTTGGAAAGGAATGAATCCATCTCTTCTTCCCCCAGCTATAGAGTCTTATATTAGTAAGATCTTTTAATATTTTTTTAAATATAACAATATTTATTTTCTGGCTTTAAATAACCTGCAGCAGGTTAAGCTATAGAAAACAAATCCAAAAAATTTGTCACAATTTTTTTTTAATTATAAGAATAGGAATTCATTTTGGGCAGTGTTATTCAATAGTAATCATGTAAGTGTGTGTGTGTAAAAAATATATATATATATATATATTTTCCAGCCTAATAGTGGATAAGTGAATGAACAATGTCATATTTCCTTTTTGAACATTCCATCATATAAAAAAAAAAGTGAGGAAAAATAGATGAGAAATACAGACACTCAGTTTTAAATTTAAATATTGTTGGCAAAAACATTAATCAGATACATTGGACAATTTTTATATATAAGTGATTTTATCATTAATTTAAAATGGTTTCTGATAAATCTGTTTTATAGATTCTCTTTAAATAATAAATTTTTCATGAACTTTTTTTTAAAGTTATCAGCTGTTATACATAAAATTAAATTTCTTTCATTGTCAAAATTGCCCAATTGGTAATCATTTCCAATATTTTTTCTTTTCAGCAATATTCCTGGCTTACATCTTCCAAGATGTAACATCATTTACATCTAATTTTTTTTTTTTCCTTTTCTGAAAAGGGGGGGAAAAAAGATCGAAGGTGGGCATTTTTCTTTAATTAAGGAAATTAATATTTTTTTTGTTCTCTAATAGATTTTAATTAATATTTTTAAAAATTTAATTTTAAAGTATTTGTTGCACTTTTATCAATTGAGTTGAGAAATAAGATAGAATTATAGTGAAAATATCACAAATGTGCAATTTTTTGCTTTGTTTTAGTGGGTACTGAAAGTTGAAAAGTTTCTTGGTTAGATCAATAAATTTTCAGCCCCACCACATATGTAAACAGAAACATTATTTTTCTTTATTTACAGATATTTAGAGAATTAGATTTCTGCTGGTCTGGTCATATCGAGGACCATTACACCAACTGCATTAAAATGCTCTTCAGAATACGGGCTTCATAAGAGACACAATTTTTGCCTGGATTCAGAGGTTCCTCTTCAAGGGGCTGCTCAGTTATTGCTTTCACATCTTGCCCATAAGCTGAAAATTAAAATAATGTTGTATGAGTACTTTTCTTCAAACAATGAATGATAACATTACATCATTGACAGTCAAGAGTCTGTGGCAAGTTTTACATTTACCATAGCTTCATTTTTTTTTTTTTTTTCCCCTCCTTTCATTTAATATATGTAAATTGTTCTTGGGAAACTTGGAACAGTAGAGTACCCAATCTGCCGTAATATTTAATCCATAGCTTTACCTAATGGAACCAAGTGAAGGCATCAATTTTGTAGACCTTGTGCACTGCTTAGGATTGATCTTATGACTTCCCTATGAGCAATGGGATCATCTTTCTCCTAGGACGATGTTTATGCCTGCTGAGCTTACTAATTTTTTTATTTAAACTTATAGGGAGCAAAACCTGAACTATTATAACTTATTTCTTCCCTTAATTGAGAAATCTGATTACAATGATGACTCAAGACCATGCATTCAGACAGGAAAACAAAATAGTTTGAGGGATAATGTAGATAAAAACTTATCATATTTGTCAAGCCATTCCATTCCTAAAGTTTTTTTAAACCTGAAAGGGGATCTATCACACAGTGCAGATATCAAGACAATCTTGCAAAAAGATTTCTTTGTCCAATCTGTTTTTTTCTTTTCTCTCCCCACCTTTCTCCTATAAAACTAAACAAATTGATACTTGTAAAATCTGTCACTAAAACTTTTCTCTTATGAATTCTATTGAGTATCTGTTGTATTATGTACAATATTCGGACTATTGTCCTCATCTTTGTCGCCATATTTATCACAACGTTTCGGCCTTCTTCAGGTGGTTGGAATGTTGAACTGAACCCTTTATTTCGCTCACTAAAGGGTTCAGTTCGACATTCCATTGAATTCCTGAAGAAGGCTGGAGCATACAATGGCCGAAACGTTGAGGACAATAGTCTGAATAATGTAAATAATGAATTCTATTGCTATCAAAAGCATGTTTCTAAATTAAATTCCTCCTCCAGAGCCATTGGTTATGCAGAGAAGAAATGAAAAATGGTAGCAAAAACAAATCAGTTGAAAACCTAACATTAAAAAAAATCTCGCAAATTTACTTCTCAGTATTGTTTGACCTTATGAATAATGTATCTACATGTGTGTGCTTAACCTCTTTCATACCAATGACGACATCCATTCATTGCTGAAGCAATTCCTCATTGACTGATTACATAAATATGCTTAGGTGCTTATTAGAAGTGGGGGAGGGGTGCATTTTTTTTTTTTTTTTTAGGAAACATTTCCTGATAACCATGAACTTATTAAGACCACCTCATTTATTAATTTTGCACCGTTTGATCTTTAAATGAATGACCCTTTTATTGCAAATTCCACCCCCTCCACTTTGATAAATCTTAGGTGTCTTGAACAATCATAAAAAAGAATGTTTACTTACTCTCACAATGGTCAAGGAACATAATGCACTCTTGTACAACTGAATCACGGATCATGATCATGTGTTTGGTCATATTCTCAATCAAAGACAGGAAGCATCTCTTAGCATAGAACCAAGTATCTGTGACAAGTTTCTTTTGGTAAGGTTCCAGACTCTTGATCACTCGAGAGATTCCAAATTCATAATTACCTTTGGCACAATACAATGTTCTGTCAACATCAAAGAACAAGAAATTTATTGTGTATTTAAGACTGTAATTAATGAGAAAATGTTGTCCAAAGTACATATTCTTTCAAAAGAATCCAAATTAATAGTCTTTCCATGATCAACTGAAATCTCATTAATTAAAATTTAGTTATAATGTTAAGGAAAACCTTTTATAGGTACTTACTGAAGTTAGATTTGTAAGATACAAGTATAGAGCACCAAGATGGTCAAACAGACTATAGTACCACTATTTGCTGTTAAGACACCAGAAGTGGTATTTACTATATACAACTTACTTTGATAAAGGGCCAGCAATATTGAGCACTCAATAAGGATACTTGTCTAACCATTGATTCTATATAAATTTAGCAGTGTCAAAGAGTTGGGTATCCAGTAAGAATTAAACTCACTACAGCCATAATAGTCTATAGTGAGGTACTTTTTGCAAGTATGATTAAGAGATTACAATATTAAATTGTGTGTTTGACATCAACAACTGCCATAAAAGAACAGACATAATATAAAAATCAGTGTTTTTTTTTTTTGCTTGTTTCACAAAACAAAAAAAAATATGCATACATAGACAAAATCTATGAAAAGCCAGTATGCTCTCTCTTCTTTGACCCAAAATGTCACATCTAATGCTCTTGTTTCTATACAACTGAAAAGAACTTTTTTAAGCAATAATATTAAGGGAAAAATTGAAACATTTTCACTTTTAATTTTTAACAAAAACTCAGTCAATTTGTAGATCTTAGCTTGATCTTCTATACAATTTGTTACTTTTACTTCCAAAACTTTGGTCATAAATATTGATATGTTTCTAAAAGTATGAAAAGTAAAAAAGATATAAATTTAGTTAGACTTTCCTGCATCTTATATTTATTAGCATAGCATACTATTAAAAGAAATATACTCACCCAATAACCATATTGACAATGCACAAGTGGTATACCTTTTTGTCTGGTTCATTATGAGAAAATGCTTCTTCCTCTTGTTCAATCTTTCGCATAACTGCCTCAGCCTAAAATTAAATGCATATCATCTGACAATGATGTATGACATTCTTATTGATATGACCCATATGCACAGAAAGAATCAAATTCAAACATCCCCCCACCGGCAAATTACGTGCCTGATTTTCTCAGCCTGCCTGACATGAACAATGATTTTTGTCTATCAAGGCTATGAAATGCAAACTCAAAATTTCCGATCCATGAGTCATAGAATAAAAAGAACAAGGAAACAAAACAGTGGCTTATATTGTTCTTTAAGAAATCTTATCACCTCAAAAGTCTTTAATTACTTCATAATACCTTCAAGGAGCATTACTGTTCAAATCGAATGTGTTTGTTTTTTTGTTTTTTTTTTCCCTAATCAATGGAATATAAATATGCCAGCAGTATTATTAAACACCTAGGATTCCATAGAGGAATTGACATACATTTTCTTGGAAAATAAAACTGGTAAAAGTAACCTATAAACATATTCAGATACCAACTTCAGCTTCTTAGCATTTCTTTGACTCCTTTTGTAACTCTTGTGAATAAGGTTCATGTAAGAAATTTTATTTGACTTCATCTAGCATTTAGTGTAGGCTTTTTTAAAAGAAAGAAAATTATTCATTTGTATGTATAAAATATGATTTCTATTGTACCCACCGTTTAAAATGGAACCCAGATATTCCTCATAAAGTCGCACACTAATTCAAACTGAATGGTTACAATACAATATCACACTTTATAGTGTCTGATAGAACTAAAATAAAAATGGCAAAATACATGAAATTGATGATATCCCATTTACAACAAAGCGATCAACGAATTTCCTAAAATGAAATGAATAACTGAACTGAAATAAATAACTTTTAAATAAATTGTTATTTGTAGATTTCATAACCATTAACAGTCATCATTAACTGCATGCCCTTATTTTAAATTCACCCTTCCCCAATGATACACTTACCTCTTCATTTTGATTGGTCATGATATACGACACACACAAGTTAGCCAGCACAATAGCACTGATATTCTGTAACTGGAATAAAATAAAAAAGTAAAGATTAGAAAAAAAAAATTACTATCCTTAATAAATTTCATTTTATTTCAAGAATATATTTGGCTAGTGTACAGTTGCCAAAATTAGGAAGTTTGTCAACCAAATTAACTTTTATGGACTCATCGTCTAATAATAATTAGTTTTTTTTGTTTATATATTTACTTCATATTATGTAAGGAGAAAGGAAAAATAAGTGATTATCTAGTTTAAAAATTACATTAAAAAGAAAAACATTTACTTTATCTTCAATGTAAAGCCAGAGGACTATTGATTTCTGGCTGATACAACTAATAGATTATTACTTGCACTTTTTTTAATATCATTTTTACCAAAATATGAAATGAGAAGAAATATAGACTAAGACTTATGCATATTCTCTTACAATATTTAGATTTGTCAAATTGTTATTCAGGCTACTCATCTCAATTGGTGCTATATTTTAGCCTCCATATGGAAAGAACCTTTTTTTTTTTTCCCCTGGTGAAAAATATACTTATCAGACCAAACCATTCACAGCAATGCATGTACAATTAGTGGTTCTATTTATTTTTTTTTTTAATATACATGAAGTTGCTGTTCAATCCTTTTACTAATCAAAATAAATCTACACTGGCCTGGCTTGTACATTTTCTTAATATACAGCAATGTTATGTTGATCTTTCAGGAACTATTGGGATCTCCTATATAAAAAGGAGAGCCTTTTCTGTATTTGTATTGAATGTCATGACCTCTCCCCATAATCTTTTCATGTGATGTGTACAACTGTAGAAACTGTCTTTGAATTGGTTTCAAATTCTTATACTCTGAAATTTTTACATACAATCATATCTGTAAAAGACAATATTTTGTCTTTATTCAAATAATTATACGATTCATCATTTATACTAAGTACAACAAATTTTGAATGCCTGTGTCAGAGTGAAAATGGGGGTGGGAAAAAGAAAAATACAAAAAAAAAGAAATGTTAGAGAGGAAGTGGAAGAAGTTTTATTTGACAACATGAAAATCAACTATGAATTAATTTCCATTATGTTTACACTCACACTGAAAATATTAAATACTGTATGTATAAATATAAATTTGTTATATTTATAAGTGAAGAGTGCTTAGTATCAGAGATAGAGCATTTAGAGATATTGTACCAAGCCATAAAACCAATAGTCACCATACAGTGTTGATTGCTATGTTTACATAGGTATATTTAAAAGATTTTTCATATTTCAGACACGTGCTTGTAGTTTGTGGCTTAATACAAGGAAAATATTTCTTTGCCCAGATCATTACCCCACTGCCAAAAAATAGGAGACAAAATTGTAGCAGTTGGCAAATTTTATTCATTTGCCACCTTCTCATAAGGGCCAGCTGTAGGTGAACAAGGAAAGGTGAACAGTCTAAGCAGTCAGTGGTCCACTGCTTGTCAGGCTGCTAGGGACCACTGTCTTATAGAGGACTAGCTATCTTGTCAGAGGCAGCTAACTTTGTTCTTGGGAGGTCCACTCCACTCAGCTGACCCTCTTGGTCACGATAATAACTGTCAAAATGATTTCTGTAACATCATGCAGATGTTTCCTTAACAAGCTATCATCTGAAAACTGATATCACTACAGTCAGCACAATAAATAAGTCTTTCCTTTGGATTTCTCTTAGAAAAAGCAAATAAAAAAACAGTCAATTTACTGAAGAGGAGAAAATGAAATTGTCAGCAATAGAAAGTTTTGGCTGATTTATATCATCTGCAAATACAGTTAAATTAATTTGATAAGGGAAGAAGTAATGCAAAAGAAATACTTGCACGGTCATAGTTCTTCTTGACAATAGCTTCATAGAAACCCGTGGCATCCTTGTACTTTTCTTGCATAAACAGGACATGAGCAACATTTAATTTCCATATGTCGTGATCATTGCAAAACTCTAGAGATGTCTGGAAGATCTTCTCAACCTGGCTGTAATTTTCCATATCCCAGTAGATGCGAGCCTGCTGCATCAGGATGGGGATATATCTGCATTACACACATGCATAAAAATAAATCAATAAAAATCACATGAAGGAATTTTAGATAAATTTAAAAAAAAAAAAAAATAGCCAGAAAAGGGAAGTGACATAATGGTTGTGAGTTCAATCACTGGACCAGGCAGAGTATACTTGGCCTCTGTGGAAACAGGGCAAGCAATAATTGAAACGTACTAAAAATAAGAATTAGCCAAGCTGTCCCTAGATATGTGCAATGGAATTAGAACAAGATATCCCCAGAGATTAAATAAAAAGGTTAATGTGAAAATTCCCTATATCAACATACACCTGATGAAGGTCAGAGAGCACAACATCTAAAATGTGATAACAACAAAGATGAGTACAATAGTCAGCATGTAAATAATAACTCCTCAGAAAAGGAAGTCTTCTCTACATGTCAAAGGATTGTTAATAAGGAATTTCTCTTAAGTTATGTTAGAACCTAAGATAAAATATTTCCATTATTCAACACATTTTTTTTTTCCTTGTTCTTCATAAATTTTCACAATTTTAATTTGAAAAAAAAAAATATCTATGTATTAAAGAATTTCTTTTCTCTTTTATCAAAACCATTTCATATTTACACTTTTTTTTATTATTTATCTGAGTTATACTATTTCTCCTGGTTATTGTTATATTTCTCTTTTGACAAGAAGTGACAAAAAATAATTTTCATTTCTTTTCTCGAATATTGCATTCAATTTCTTTTAGACACTTGAATTAATTTTCACATGCTTTTCTTGACATATTGAAAAGGGTTTTCATAAAATAGCATTCTCTGTAGTTTTTATAGTTATGTGCTTATAAAACATGATCTTGCAGATTGACAAGATTATTATTGATATTTGACTTTGCTAGAAGAATTTGATGGCTTGACAGATGATCAAATCTAACATATAAACCTATTGTCTCAGTTTTTACATTAGGAGAATTAGTAACCTCCAGATTGGAGTTGTTCAGTAAAGATGTCAAGTTGTAGCTCGGTTGGCAAGAGAATCTGGTCTGTTTAATTGGTTTGCTTCCTTGAAGTAAGTTTACAGGTGTCTCACTAACAGCCTATGTTGTTCACCCACTGTTATAGAATCCGAATAATGTTATGATAAAAAGCAAATAAGAATAAAGATGGAAGAAAATATGTCAGAAATTAATGATGGTTGACAATGCTTCATTTGTAAAAAATTAACGGATTTTATTTTTATTAATCTGACATTTTTATTACTTCAAATGTTATTTTTAGTAGATACCTGTATTTTAGTAGACGCTCTGTTTATTTTAAACTGTACTCGAGAAAATAATCAAACCTTTTGTTTATTAAGTTTTCTCGAGTATGCAGTAAGGAGTATCTACTCAAATATGGGTATCCACTAAAAATAATGTTTAAAGTAAGAAAAACAATGCTTCCTCTAATAAAAAAAAGATAACCTCTCTGCAAATTTGTTTTAAATATATTGTGTATACATGTATGTATTTATTTGAATGAGTCTAGTGCATTCAATCAACCACTAAAGATTCAATGTTTTCCTTAATGTTTAATTTTTTCTTTTTAATGACTGACCTTTGCAAAGTTCAAATTATAAGTAAGGTCTGTATTTCTGGACTGAAATTATACTTCCTCTGATTTTTAAAGTGACAAACAAAACAGCATTAACATCTTTCATTCTTTTGAGTTAATAAAACCAAAAATGAAGGAACAGAACATATTCCAGGTGATGGAATATAGAAAAAAGTTGGGTTGTAGCTATAGAAATAGATTTTTTTTTTTATTCTATATAAGTGATATGTTAAATTATGTGATCAGCCTGCCAGGACTTGGTTTCATGAGCAATGAGAGGTGTACAGGTAGTATAAAGGATAGCAGCTTGGACTGAGAAATCAGAGAGCTCAGTTCGAATTCCAGTTGGGTTTATTACATTCACTTATGTGGCAAATACCCTTGGGAAAGGTATGAATCTATCTACTTTCTGCTGTTATGAGTTTAATAGTAGGACTTGTATCTGTAAAAAAAATCATTATTCTCAAGAAATAGTAATGCAATATTAACTCTAAAAAAATAATTTAATGTTACAATCAAAAATATGTTTTGGCTTTAAGTAAATCCAGTGTTGATGTAAAAAAAAAACATGAGCAATTACTATCCAAGATATAATTTTCAATATTTATGCTATATGTAAGGTGGTTGCTTTATAAATATAGCGAGATTCCAAGTAAGGTCATTCATTCTCTTTTGAAATCAAGTTTCCTTCATTAATGAGTTTCAAAAATTTGACTTCATCACAAAGCAAATACTTTTTTTTTTTTTTTCCTAAAAAAAAAAAAAAATTTGTATCAATCTTAGAATAGAAATTTAACTTTTTTTGTTGTTGTTGAAAATATATTAAGCACTGAAAGAATTTTTTTTTTTCCAACCGAGCTACAACTTGACATCTTTACCGAACAACTCCAATCTTTTTTTTATTCTCCTAATGTAAAAACTGAGACAATAGGTTTATATGTTAGATTTGATCATCTGTCAAGCCATCAAATTCTTCTAGCAAAGTCAAATATCAATAATAATCTTGTCAATCTGCAAGATCATGTTTTATAAGCACATAACTATAAAAACTACAGAGAATGCTATTTTATGAAAACTAGTTTCAATATGCCACTCAACAAAATATTGATTGTTTTTAGTAACCAATTACCAAAATTAAGCAATGATCTACCTAGATAGTACCAAATATATGACCATCAATGTTGTATACAAATAAAACTTATTATTCAGAATGAAAAATTTATATATAAAACTCAACAAAAATTTATATTAAGAATTCAAGTGACATATTTTGCTCCAGTGTTTTGTTTACAAAATTTATTAAAGACTTGAAGGTTTATGTCCATATTACATTGAAATGCCAGTTCTCATACAATCACCAAAGTTAAGCAACATCAAGCCTGGTCAGTACCTAGATAGGTGACCACTTGGGAATACCAAGTGGTGTTTGGTTGAATGTGCAGGTGATGTAATGGATAACAGCTCAGAATTAGAAATTGGAGAGCCACATTCCAATTCCAGTTATATTCACTTGCTCACAATTACCCTTGAGAAAGATATGAATCTACCTTTTCTCCCCTACAATTATGGGTTAATTAGTATAACTTGTATTAGTAAATCATTATCATCTCCAAAAAAATGAACCTGCAACAGGTTGATAAGCCATGAAAAACAATCAACGATCACAAAAAATGCTTCAGTGGATGTATGAGTAATGTAATGGTTAGCAGTGCAGAAAATGGAATCAGTGACCCGAGTTCAAATATCAGCCCAGTCTATTACATTCATTTTTACACTAATTCTCTTGGAATGTGTTTTGTAAAGGCTAGTGGCTCAGAATAAAAAAAAAAATCAGAGAGTCAAGTTTGAATTTTAATTGAGTTCATTACATACCCTTGGGAAAGGTATGAATCCATTCCTTCTCCCCACCCCCCCGCATTGGTTGATTAGCAAAGTAGACGAGGCTCTCTAACCACAACTGGCAACCAGTCTAGGAAATGGACAATTCTGAATTCAAAATCAGTATAGATAGCATAAGCAAGATCTCTATTAGGTTTTGACCAATCAAAAATCAACTCATTGAATAAGAGTTGCAATGGATTATATAACAATTGCATCCCACATCACCCTTGGAAAAGGCATGAATACATTTCATGTCTTCCCAGCAGCTAAAATAGTAGAGCAGACTGGGTTTTCTACCCTTGATTGGCAACCAGTCTAGGAGAAGGACAAAAGACTGTAAATTGATTAGGCATGGGGGTTAACAATTTCACTCTATAAAAGCCTACTCGCTACTGAAACTGTAGCAGCTTCACCCAACCTGGTGATTTTGTGGACCCATGTTCAAGAAAGATCACATAAAAATTATTACTTTCTAATCAAAATTTAAATATTTTCTCCATAAATCCTATAGTGATAGATCTGTAAGAATGATATTATGTGTAAAGAAATGATAATAAGAGCATTAGTAATAAATTGATAATGATATTGATAATATTAATCGATTATCAGTTTTATTTCATATTATTGTTCACAAGGTTAAAACATGAACAAATAATATGGATTTATGTCATAAGGGGGAAAATTATTTTATGGTTATAAGCTACAAAGTATAAGTATGAAAATAATATTCTATGTGCCACATCTCTTCAGGACATAGGCGATCATGGCTCTCCACAATTTCCTGTCCTTTGTAGTAATTAATAAATTGTTGTTATCTCCCCTAAACCTTGCTCCAACATCCATTTACTCAAGCACACTCTGTAGGTTATACATTGTTTTCCGCCATTCTTCTTGCTCTCAATCTGTCCTATGAATATCAAATTTTCCAGGCCCTCTTTTCTCATTATGTATGTGCCCTAGAAATTTCAACTATCTCTTCCTGATGTTAACTACAAATGTCTTTTGTTTCCATTTTCTCTAAAATTTCATCATTGCTCATATGCTCAGTCCATGGTATTCTCACCATCCTTCTGTAGAACTACATTTCTATTGCTGCAAGTCTTCATCTGTGAGGAAATTGTCCAGCATTAACTGCCATATAGAAGGACCAATGTTATTGTATAATACACTAATCTTTTAGGACAATAGTAGAGTGTTTAAAAATGTTTACAAAATCAAGAGGGTATACTCTAAGGGACCAAAGTACAAAAATTATAATTGGAAAAAAAAAAAAAAAAAAAAAAAGAATAATTGAAGACATGTTAAAACCTAATTATTGTAAAGAGTTAAAAAAATGACAGCATTGGGTAATAATAAAAATAATATTTGTCGTAAATAATTGGCTACTAATACTACTATTGTGCAAAGTGATTATAACAATATATCAAGTAGAAAAGACATTAATAAAAAATTGGAATTAGTCTTTTGATTATTAGTAGAGTAATAATACTGCAGAAAAAATCTAATTTAACTATAGAAACCAAAGTGATGGCAGGAAAATAAGAAAACATCCAAGCAAAGGTCATAATTGGCAAAAGAAAAGCTAGAGTAACAGTAAATTAATTTTTATAAATGAAATTACGTTTCCAAAGCATCATCATATTCATTGACGGCTCTCTTCAATGCTTCTTCATCATTATTCTGTTTTGACTGCTGCACCTACAGCAAAAGAAAAAAAAAAGTCAAGGGGAGAAAAAGAATAAAATGAATCTTATCTTTCTTCAAACAAAAGTGATCAAAATGTTAATCAACAACATTTAATTAATAGACACTGCCCAGACATTTGACTCCAAGAGATTTTCACCAAACACAAAAGGCTGCAAAGTTCAGGTTTACTTCCTCAGATATTGGCTTTTCAACCCTTATCTACAAGATGCTTTTTCTTTAAAGTTTTCTACTTTTATCAGATTGTTCCACATCAAAATAAATTGCTAAAACTCAAGTTTTATTTATTCAATTAAAATGGTTTTCTTTCAGCCTCTTATTCCACCTTGGCATTAAGTCATAAATTCCTTTTCTAAGTTTCCACTCAAAGAAACAAGATTCATTAAAGTGTTCTTCAATTCAAGTAGTCCAGGTGTTGGAAGATGATAACCTGTAAGAAAGATGGTGACTGTATATTTTTTTTTTGTTCCTTGTTCAATTTAGATGGAAACCATTTATCAAGATTTTTTTTTTTTTTTTTTTGACCAAGTATCCTTTTTTTTTTACAATATTATTTTTTAACTGTATACAAGACCCAAGAGCCACTAGAGATAGAAAGTTACAGAATAAGAGATACAATTTATGGGGATATGTGACTTGAACAGGCCAAGATTGTAGTGATTGGGGAAGAAGCATCTTGGGAATCGGTTCCACAAAGCAGCAGTTTATGGAAAGAAATTGTTCAAGTGGAACATCCATCTCACCAATGGAATACAAAGGGAATGGAGATGGTTCGCTACAATATGTGTGATGGGTCTTAGTCATCAGGATCAGAACTGATGAAACTAGGGAATATGGTTTTTCTGAACACTTTTCATGGACATAGTAACAGAAGCTTGCAACATTTCTTCTATGGGAAAGGGGTTGTAAAGTGGAAAATAATTTGTCACCTACAAGGATGCTTTTGGACTATCAAGGCTAGAAAGTGAAGATTGGGCAGCTTTTGCCCATATATGGCAGCAGCATTCCATTCTCAGCTTCATCTGGCTCTTGTAAATGTATGCGATAGCAGGAATCAGGTACTTACTGAATCAGTACGAGGAATTGACCATTTTTCCTGCATCTTTAGCAATAGATTGTATGTACAAGATCCATTTGAGGTCTGTGTTTGAAGGAGTTCCCTTCACTCATTGAAATCTGTTGCAAATACTCCCATGTTTATTATATTTTTATTGTATAGTTGAGTTCCTACTCTATGACCACTAATATTATTGATGGTGTCATACTCCTACCACCTTAACAAATAGTCCTAAGTGTATAAAAAAAAAGTAAAACTACTCAAGTATTAAGGACTAGGTAGAGATTCAGTACCAAGTATCAATTGAGATTAGTACTAGTTCACTCCTTAATTGACCAATTACAAGAAAAGCACAATTACAACTGAAGACAGCCACTGACAACAGTAACAATTCAGTATGCAGAAATATAAGAGTTTCCCAAGGAAACATGAACCTTTGTATTAATTATCATGAGGAAGTGCTGAAAAGTTTTTAGAGTAACCCATTTCCAAAATCTGACCAAATATAGTATTTTTTTTATTTTTTGAAATTCCTTCTTGGTTGGACCAAAATCTTTTCAGCCATCCTTCATACAACCAGATCTAAAATGAGGCCTTAGGATTGCTATCCCAAAAGTATAAAAATGTTGGAAACATTACAGTTGTCCATATGATATAATGGCTGCCCACAGACATACCTGCTAGACAGATAACTTCTCAATGACACAATTTTTTGTCAAATTTTTATCCTTGTTTGATAGTTTTCACTATTGTTTCTTTTGGTTTTTGCAAACTAAAATCTCTACCTGCAGATTCTTTAAAACCAAAATCTTACTATTCCCTCACACCAAAATGTAAAATATATTTTCATAGAATCAAGTGTTAAAAGTATTTCCATCTTTGCCTAATATATAAGGTGAAAATGTTTGTTTCATATCATTCATTTTTACTAAATCATGGTTGAAATGAATGAATAAAAGAAATGGCATGTACCTTGTTGCCAGTAGGGAAACAGAACAAGTGAAGAATGGAGAGTTTATAGACAAAGAGAAAAACAGTGCATTGTAGTGAAAATGTTTAATATAAGTCAGTAAGGACATGTTTTGTTGTTTTTTTTACCAATGCCAACTAGACAAGTATTTTGACTGCCAGAGTAGAAAGGTAGAGGAAAGGAAAGGGAGATAAAAGGCAAGAAAAAAAAAAGATAAACAGAAAGAGTGATACAAAGAGAGAAAACAACAAGCAAGGCCCAACCAAGAATTGGTAAGAGTCAGAGTCAAACCTTGCAGCCCCAGGTACTATTTCTTTGTTGCAGGAATCAGCGAGTACAAGAAGTTATTCATTTTGTTCTATTCAATTTCAACAGCATAAATCAAAAAATATTAATTAAGTAGATGTCAGGTTTCTGAAGAAAAAAAATAAAAATGTCAACCAAAAAATTGTCAAAATGTTGCACAACCTCACGTATCCGAGAATTTGGAATATTGAAATAAGAACCAGATATTATTTTTTTCCATATTTATTAATTCAGTGACAATGTGCCCAAAGAGAATATGATCTCTATATATTAATATCTATGAGTTTGTTAAAAAAAAAAAAAAAAAAAAAAAAATATCAATAATAGCATGTTTGTTACGTTTTTCTATTCAAAAAGTAATTCAGATAAATTTTAACAATGCTGAGAAGGATCAAAATTGGTTTTTCATCCTAAAATCTTGAAAAATTACTTATGGTAATTTATTAAGAATTATAAATGATTTGGTTTGTTCATCTCAGCAAAAGTTTATAACTCAAGAATTGATAAATCAATTTACAGTGGACTCTAATTACAAGGAACAACCACTTAGATGAATGGATTAAGTATGGAATCACCACCTCATTTAAATCAGCCCCTCCTTTTTATGCAAATCTGTTTAAGAGGAATGACTACTTTTTGGAATCAAAATTAAAATCCTAATGTGTTCTACTTAAGTGTATTATACAAGATTTAAATTTATGCAAAACTGAAACAATTGTAGCTTTAGGAGCATCACCAATTTGTAATTTCAAAATGATATGCTGAGAGTTCATTTATAAACATTCACTTTATGATAAATGCTAATTATATTTGCATTGACCTTTTTCATTTGAATATAATTCCGAGTCAAATGTACTCAACTCCCTTGCTTTTCAAAGTGGGCTTATGTCTCGATAAATATCTTGCCAATTCCAGAGAATGTTAGAGTGCTGGAATTTATTCTGAGAAGTCTATAATGACATGGTTCATTTGGTGAACAGAGGGAAGTCAAATGACTTCTCAACTTACAAAACTCTTGTGGAATGGGTAGCGATGGCCAAATGCAAAATAAGTAACAGAAAAGTCTAACAAACAGAATTGACAAAGTTCTTAATAAGCAATAACAAGAAAACAAAAAGAACAGGGCAAAAAATAACATAAATCAAGCAAATAATATATGCAAGGCAAATTAACAGTAATAAGGTAAGAAGTTCACAAACTAAGAATTGGGGTTGACACACATGCGGAAGCATCATTCTGACTTCAAGACAGACTGGAACCAAATTAGATGAAACTGAGAACCAGCCTATTTTATTATCTAGGATAAAATCTCAGCATGCATTTGTTTGCTTTTGCCTAGGAAGGGGAAAGTGTTTTGCAGTCATTCCTACATGGACTGAAACCAACAACTCTATTCAGCTTATTGGAACTACTAAAGTAAATTTAAATTATTTGCTATTATTGACAGTGTTAATAGCTTGAAAGCACTATTTGAATGTCTCTAGATTTGAGAATATCTATGGTCTTAAGAAAATAAAGAATTAAAAGAAATTCATTACTGAATGGTGTGATTTACTGTAAGCAAGACAAAAGAGTTCAAAGTCTACATTCCACATTCTTTTTAGAATATTCAAGCAATAGGAAACAAAAACTGGAATTGTCCATTTCAACACCAGCAATATTTCTGATTTATTTCATCAATGCCAATGCATCAAGAGAATGGTTTTATAACAAAATGGACAGACAACATTCATGCAAGATGCCAATTCCCAACAAATTTTTCTGGCTTTCATAATTGATGAGAAAATTTATATGTATTTGTAGTAAACTGCTGTCAATGGAAACCAATATAATATGGCCCTCACAGATTCACAAAACAAGGATGAAAAAATTGTAAGCAGAGTTACAGACAACAAATGAGGAGACATTTCTAAAGCTCCATCATTTATTAGAAATTGTTTTAGACAAGGGAAATGAAACTAACTGACAACAAAAGAACAATGCTTCAACCAAGCTATGACTGATTTCGAGCATAGGAAGTCAGTCTACTACACAAGGGAGATTTTGGAGGACTTTGAAAGGCATTACCTTCTTAATATATTTATAATATGAAGATTTATATCTGAACCAAATCATGGCACCAGTGAGATTTAATGTTTTAAACTTGATACAGTTTTCCTTTCTCAATTTGAATATTATATTCCACTTGATAGCTTTTCAAAACCAAAGTACTGATGCCAAGAATTAATATATGTTATTAAGTCACGTCTCCAAAAATATCCAAATGATGTGTTTAACTGAAGATTGGAAAAATCCAAATTAGTTAATAGGGAAAAACAAAAAATAGACATTTGAAAGTAATCTACATAAGCAGTGATCATCTCCAAGACAAGAGATGATGCAATTAAGATGAAAATATTGAATTATATAAGGTAAAATTAAAATTTGGTTCAGTTTATTAAATAAAAATACGACACATTTTTTTCTCAAGTAACTTCCTAATTCCACCCTCCCAGAACTTTTTATCTTCCTCAGCAAAGAACTGTGTTAGGTGTCCTGTACAGTCTTCTACGGAACTGCATTTTTTCTGTGAATTTTGCAAAGAACCAAATAAATGGTGCAACATCTGGTGAATTTAGCAAATGAGTAAAATCTTCCAAGCCAAGCTTGATTTTTGCTTTGTTGCCAAAGAAACATGCAATCTAGCATTATCCTGATTAGACATGATGCCTTTTCTATTAACTTATGTATTTTATTGACAACAGACTCTAATTTGTCTAACAGTACGTGTTTGAATCAATTGTTTGCTTCTCCAGAAAAAGCTCATATTAGCAGATTCCCTGCCAGTCCCACCATATATATAGCATCATATTCTTTGGATAAAAACCATCCTTCTTATCCAAAGAATGTGATAGTGGTCATTCATTTTACTTACTGCACAGTCTTTTGTCCTCCATGTTGTTGTATTCATTTTCATCACAATTCGAAAAAAAAACAACAAAAAAAAACAAAAAAAACAACAACTGTACATATAAATATAATGCAGTAAGTGTTTCTTTTTCACTTGTGCTGCTTCTACATCAAAGTGGCTAACATTGGCTGGTGCAAATGCACTTGTTTTGAATACTTGGAATATGTTGGCTAGCTCTTACATTGATTGTATAAATGATTCTGTTCACATAATGTCTTGATTTGTTCACTATCAACCTCAACTTGTACATCTGATTATGAAGTATTGTTCAACAAGAAATCTCTAGCATCAAACTTAACAAACCACTTCCGACATGTTTGGTCATTCACAGTACGTTCTCCAAAAATTACACATTTTTTTGTTTTGCATTTCAATTGCATTTTTATCTTTTTTAAAATAAAGCATATGCTGAAAATATTATTTTTGTCCACAGTTAATGTTAAAAATCAATAAATAATATTCTAATATGCACAATTTTTTAAAATGTTCGCTCATATGAGAACTGTCACAATACAAATATAAAATTAAAACTAATCATTCCTCATACCATCTAATGACAAAAAAAATCTTTTGGATCAACAAAGTACAAACAAATCATTTTGAAAAAAAATTTTTGTAAAGATGAATATTTCAAACACGAAAGAGTTCAGGTTAATTTTCCCTGCATATTCACATAATTCTCTCACATCTGAGATGCTGAGAATAAAAATGATTGATCTCAAAACAATGCAAAATACCAAAAGACATGATTAGCATATATTTATGGCGGACAATCAAAGTACTAGAAAATAGATATAAACTCTACTGCTAACTTTAAATTCTTTGTCAATTAACACTGCTTCCCACCAAAAAAAAAAAAAAAAAAAAAAAAAAAAACTTACTTGTAAGTAATGTCCAACAAAAAAATGTGGTTGACTTAATAATTTCAATCTTTATTCACATCATCCTCAAAGGGTGATATAAATAAAAATGACCTTCATTGACAATTTATATACTAAGCAAAAATCTATGTACATAAAATGCAATGACTATCTACATGTATATTTTTCTTGTATATAACACATTTCTATATCATCTATCATTAAAACTTAAGTCAGAATGGCTACCAAAGCAACCATGTCTTAGGCTGCTTTTTAAGGGCTTGAAGTACACATATTTGTTCTAATGACCTTCAATATCTTTGACCAATCATTTTTATCTCATCAGGTTTGCCAGAATGATCCAAATGTTCATACAATACAGCTACTTAACACATATTGTGTAGTACAGTATCCAATAATGACCCATTTAAGAAATGGTAAATAAAATTAAGCCAATTGATAAAATTCAAATCCAACAACTGGAATAATGGAAACTAAAGTTTTCCTCTAAAGTATGTCATCATTTCTTGGAATCCCTTATTTAAAAAGTTCTTCAGATATGTTTTGGATTTACCATATTTATATGTTTCTGTCTGTTTGAATATCAACAAACTTGATTAGTCAACAATCTACATCACACTATTGACAGATCCTTTTTTTAATACCTCTTGTATGAATAGAAATAAACTGTGCTCTTGTTAAGTTTTAAAATCTATTTTTGTTGCTTCCTGTTTTGGTTGGGCAATGCCAACAATATTACCAGGAATTACAATTGTACACCATTTTATATGCAGAATATGGACTTCCTGTTGAATGTTTACCACACGCCTTCATATATGAAATCATTCTTCATCCCAATGGCTACAAATCAAGTCTACTTTTAAGGTAGCTGAGAAAAACTTCTTCCATTGTACTTGAATTTTACTGCCCATTTTATTTCATAGTGTTGTAACTAAAAGCAATGTTCCTAAAGGTCAATTGCATCTGCTTGGGATTTAATGTTTTCCCCTGCTGTTTCATTTTGAAGAGTTTAATAATAGAAGAGAAACAAATACATTGGGAAGCAATCTGAAAATTTTGTGATGAGCCATTCAACCAAGCATTGATTGAAAGCTTGTTTAATTGTTCAACTGATATTTTCCATTTGCAGTACTATTTTTTTTTCTTATTTTGTAACTTGAATTGAGCCATTCGTCATATTTGCTTTGATTTCCTGAAAAAGAAAAAAAAAAAGAGATTCTTTCTTTTCTTACAGATTGTACACCTGGAAAAATAAAGTGGTTGTAGTAATAATTCCTTCAGATATTAGTAGTTCACTGAAGATGTCCTAACACTTGACTAAGACAAAAAGACAAAAGAAAACAGGCTTCCTTTTTTATTTTTGTTTTTAAAGAAATTGTTTAATATTTCATCAAGTAATTCTTGAATAACATTGAAAACAACAGCAAAAGAGAAAACACATAGAGTTTACCAGTTTAGTAAGTTTCCGTAGCATCTCAGTTTTTCTTGTGGCCATTTCATCCAGTCTACGATAAGCATCTTCAGGAGCTGTCTGTCTTGTGATGACTGCTTCCAAAAAGTCATATAATTCCTGAATGAACAAGAAATTTACAAAAAGGTAAAAACATATATAATGCATTTTAAATTAATGGTTAAATACAAAATGCTATTAAATGATGTTTTTTTCTAAGCAACTTGATTCACAGCACCTTTACTCCAATTTGACTAAATCTTAAGCATTTTCTGACTTTAGTGGTAAGCAGAAAGTTACTAAATGCGTTATCTTAAATTGTATTCAAGAATTTTACCAATTCTATTAGTTGACTTACAGTGAAATGTCTTGCTTTTCCATTTATTCAACCCAAGCATAAAAAATTCAATATTTAAGCAACTTGAGTATAAATTTTGTGCAAACTGAACACTGGCCAAAATCTTAAGTGGCTTATTAAAAAAAAAAAAATGAAGTCATGACAAGAAATGAGAAAATGAGGAGATAAAAAGAAACAAAATATGATAAATGCACTGAAGTGACTTTTGATAGAATTTAAGTTAAAGAATAATTAAATTTATTCAGCATTGAAACATGAAATGATCAGAAGCCACTTAAATTGTATTAAAACTCAGAGTTAATGAATATTATATATAAACTCTACTTGCTATCTTCAAATTCTTTGTTTACCAATTTTAAAGTATAACACCCAATACCTGGAAAAAAATAATTCTAAGTCATTAATGTCCAACAAAAAACACGGTTGACTTTCTTAATAATTTCAATATTTATTCTCAAAGTGTGATAAGTGAAAGTGACCTTCACTGCTAATTTATATACTAAGTAAAAATCTATGTACATAAAAAGCAATATCTATATGTATATTTTTCTTATATATAACACATTTCTATATTATCTATCATTAAAACTTAAGTCACAATGGCTACTGAAGTGGCCATATCTTAGGCTGCCTTCCAAGTACTTGAAATGCATCTATTTGTTCCAATAATCCTCAATATTTTTTACCAATCATTTTTATCTGATCAGAATTTTATCAGTTTTCGTTAATTCCTAAATGGTGTGCCTTGAGCAATGTTCAATGTCTCTTCTCCTACCAGTCCATTGTATTTCCTTTACATAACAAATACACCTGCACAAACACACACACAGAGTATGACTGTTCAAAGATAAAGGGGAAGCTATCACATTTTCTTTTTTCTTCCTTTCATTAATAACCTTTGATCAGAGACCACATCCCCAGGATATCTGGCCAATGTTTCACAATCAGCATTTTTTTCTTCTTGGCTGATTGTATTAGAAATACATTTACCAAACTTGAACACTCTTAGTAACAATGCTGGGTTTGGTAAAATAAAAACAAATAAGATTACTTTCCTTAAGACTAAGAAATTTTGGCAAGAATTTTAAGGAAATACCTGACAAAAAAAAACAAAACAAAAAAAAACAGCTAATATTCAACCCTTTCATTGTTTAACCATTGCACTTTTAAAACTCTTTCAGGACTGAATCTGTATATAAATTTTACCATACATTTAAAATCAGGTTTTGTGAGCTCTCTAAAACAGGTCAAGTTCTCAAGATGAGATATTATAGGGGTATATATATATATATATATATATATATATATATATATATATATATATAAAAACAATGAATCATTCATACAAAAACTACTCTACTTAAAACATTACTCTACTTATTGAACTATTTAGTTCATGCCACATTGACTGATAAACTCCTACAACAAAAAATTCTCAAATTGCCATATTAGCAAGAAAACACTCACTTAAATTTTCAAAAAAATTTCAACCTTAGCATTGTGATTACATGCTCCACAAAACACATTCCTAAAAAAAAAAAATAAAAAAAATAAAAAATTTAATTTGCATTATATTTTTCATCTTAGATGCTACCTGAATTTTACCAAAAATAATTTCCATGCCTGATGATGACTGGAGGTACAGTCGAAAGTACTTGCATATTTAAGGAAGGTCTAATACAGTTTATAATTTAAAAAAAAAAAAAAAAACATGGACTGTAACATTTATCAAGTGATTAGTAGGTTAATGCATCTTTAAAATTTAATTAGCGAAGGGAGTTTGCCATTTTATATTAACTTTACTAATTTACTTTTTGTATGAATGATTCATTATAATATAAATTGAACTGCACCACATATTTTATATATATATATATATATATATATATATATATATTAGTGTTTTGACTTGGTCCCTGTTGAAACTACATAAGTGTTTTGTCTAATGGACTTCACTTTATGTTATTTGACGCTTCCAATTAGAGTAAGAAGTACAAGGCAAAAAGCTCACTAACATTTAACAATGTTGCTGATGAATATAGAAAAATCAACATTATTCCCAAAAGGAGACACAGTTTGTTCAGAATATATCTAGTTATCATGAATAGCTCAAGAATGTGTTGCATGAAATTGGTATCACTTCACAACTAATATTAGTAGAGACATTACTACATATGCAGACACTCTCATGGGGTTACACAGTGAGTAGTGAAATGGCATGAGGAGTAAGTTTCATTTTTATGCAACCTTTACATTCACAAAAACTAAGCAATTTGCTTAGATTATTTACATCTCATACAGTCTGTTCGATAAAATAATTGCATCATCCAACTCTGTCAGTTCTCCTTAGCAGGTAGAAATATTTTTACCTATATATATATATCTGGTTTTGATTATTTCCATGCAAAATGACTCCAATAAAATATCCATCTTGTATTTGGTCAGTCTATCTGGAAAGGGTTGAACATAAGAGAGAAATGGATTCAAACAGTTGGTCAATAAAGTAACATAATCGATACTGCTGTCATTAAAAGATATGCAAAATAACTCACCGGTGTTAAGTATTTGTATGTCAGATGAGCATTCTCTGCTAAGACATCTGCAGCCAAGTCAAAATACTAGAAACGAGAAGTAGCAAGATAAGATTCTTTAATCATTCATCTTGCAAAAGTATACCAAGATGAGGATTGGAAATTTAGGAATATTTGACATTACAAATACAAAAGTAAGTTTAATGGAGATTTGAAATGCTGGTTAAAATTAATTAAAACAGACAAAAATTATATAATAATTACAAGCTTTTTTGTTCAAACACAAGCCCTGAAAATACAAATTTATCAACTATACATAATTACTTTTACTTCATAACATATTTAATAAATCATAGAAATAAAAGTTGATATTTGGAGAAAGTATGTCTCATTATTAATTACAAAACTAAAATTTGAAATACAATCCTAAACTGAATCCAAACTGAATCTTATTTGATAAGCAACTTTGGTTTATTTCTTCAGTAAGGAGGTAAGTTCCACTTGGATGGTTTCTTCCTAAGAACAATTGCTTTGTGAAATAGAATCCTAGGAGGATGCTTTCCCAACCAATACAAGCATAGGGTTAAACATTATCTTCCCCCACATATATCTACAAACTACCTCCCTTACACTTACTGGTCATACAAGTGTCTCCAGTAACATTCTATCTTGAATAGCCCTAGGCCTTGTATAGGCTGTAAATTACAAAATACCAACTAAAATTTGCAAATCATTAATTGAGAACTACAAGAAGAGGTTGGTTGCTGTACAAGTGAATAATGGCTATTCTACAAAGTATTAAATGAAGATTATGTATTCTTTTTTGTATTGTATGAATACTTTTTTCACCCATTAAAATGAATAAATGGGATTTATTTCTATTAGATTAAAATTTTTGTTTTCTATGCATATTTAGTTATTATGCATCTTTGTGTGGTTAATTATATGAAAATTATGTTATTCATAAGTTGGAAATATAATAAATTAAAAATTTGTATGTGTACAAATATTTGTTTTCCCCACACTGTATATAAAAATTGCTGTAAGTTGTAAAATATAAACTCAAAGGAAAAATGAAATATTGTAAGGTTATTGAGTGATGAGAAAGCAATATTGGAAATCATGAAAAGTTGAATATAAATTACAGAAGAATCAAAAAGAAACGAAAAATATTGGTAAAAGCAAAAAAAAAAAAAAAAATTTTAAAAATGCCACAAAAAAGATTTGATAAAAATTAAAAGGATAAGTTGGTTAACCAACAAAAAATGTTTGAAAAAAGCTGGTGTTATGAATGTAAGCAGAGAGAATAGATGCAGTAGGTTAAGAACATTAAAAACATGAAAGCAATCAAACTACCATCTTTAATTAAACATCACAAAGAGAAAATGTAAGAAAATGCACTGATTTCTCAATATTAAATTTTTAGTGATGAATGTAGAGCTGCATTGGCTGGAACTGATGTTTGCACTGGAGGTTAAATCTTTCATGAAAATAATCAATCAATACCAAAGACAACAGAAGAGGAACAGAATAATGTCTTGGGTGAGTATTATAGGTCTCTTCAAAGATGATGATTCTATCAAGATAAATCCTAAAACTAATAAATATATTCTTGCAAGACAATGTTTTCAAATTCTGCAAAGCTGATTATTGTCCACCTTGCCAAAAAAAGAAGGTTTCAAAAGTTATTAAAGTAATGGAAACAATATTGAAGCAAAGAAGATCTCTGGGAAGCAATAAAGACTGTTGAAAGTCAAGAGAAAAAAAGTTAAAAATCAATGAATGAAAAACTGAAGAAGGTTATAGAATGCCAAGAAGCCCATTATTATCATCATGTGAAATAATAATCTATTCAGATATATGCAGTATTGTGTCACTCAAATGTGTTTCCTTTGTATGTATTTACAAGGGGGTGCTGAAAAGTTATCTAACTGACCAAGGAGGGAGATTCAAACATTTGGTTTGATATTGGGGAATCATTTCAGCACCCCCTTATATAAATAAAAACTTATGTAGCACTTTGTTTGCATGAACTCTTATACCCACAAAACAAGTTCTTATCTATATTTTTACTAAGAATGAACATTGTAAGCTGAAAATCACAATATGTAGCATGGATACATTTTGAAAATTTTATTAATGTTATTGTGGATACACTAACTTGCATAAAATCTTAAAGTGTATATTTTAAAGTTTCTGCTATTTCACTCATTGAATTTTATCAGATCTGCTTTCTTTTTTTTTGTGTGTGTGATATCCAGTAAGGATTTATTCAAAGCATGAAACAATTTAATTTTTGTTGAAGGTTTTCTGGACAGTTTCCTTAAAATGTTCAATATGATTCATATCAAGTGACTGATTTGACAATGAATGTTGTTAAATATCTTTTGGAATGAAGACACATGCCTCTAAAATGAAAGTGTTAAAGCTACACAATTACATAAATATAACTACCTCAATTACCCATTGCTTGAATGTTGACAGATTTTAAGAAGTGACTTTCTTCTGGCTGAGCTACCTTCATAATGCATTCAATAAAGATGCTATATTGTTATTCTTGTGCTAGTCTGGACTCGAACTGTCATATCTGAACAATAATGTTTCTCATCTCTTCACAAAAGGACATCTTTCTGACTACTCAAAGCAACTTGAACAAGACAGTCATTTTGTTTTTCTTCATTAGAAAAATATACAACCATATGGTGTACAGTTGAAAGTGAAATTCTCAATTTCAAATGCTATTTGACCCTTGCTCATTCCACCTGTGGATAGACAAACAATATGTCGGCTTTTCAAATCTGACATTTCTTATGAGGCATTACAAAGTGATTCAGTTATTTTGAATTGTGACAGGAACTATCACTCAATATATATTTCTGTCACATTTTAATAGTGTGTATCTACTTATATCACAAGAATTGGTTCATTCATCTCTTTAAACCTCATTAAAGAAAAATTCATGCAAAACTTAAGGAAACAAATACTGATAGGTAGTCATTAAGCATTGTATCTGACAAGTTACAGGTTCAAAAACAAGTAACAGAGTTTTATACTCTAAACATGCAACAATTGAATTTAGGTACATCTGATTTGAGTTGGAAGAAGAGGTTTCAATTTTAAAAATGCTTAACCTTATAATCATTCTGCTATTTTCCTGTTGGTTGTGTCCTATCAAATTCCTAGACAAATAATAGATCATGTCATCTTATATATGTGAACAGTTCAACTAGAGAATTTGAACAATGTAGCTATATACAACTTGTCATAGTGAATCAGTCCATCTTAAATAAATCTCACAAACAATGTTTTGCAGCAATTCTTAACCTCAACATGAGATTTCTTTTCATGATAAAATGTTGAATAATATAGCAGTTCACAAATAAGTACACTCTTTTTGATGTATTTAAAAAAAAAAAAGGTAAATTTTCTGTTCATAAGTCAAATCCCTGGGTCAGTATCCACTAGTCAAAATATATTTACTTGCCTAAATGGAAAAAAGGTGACAAGAAAAATCTTTTCCCTGAGAAATAAGAGACAACCATAGATAGAAGAGACAATCCATCAGTTTGAACAAAATTGTAAAGGATTTTCAACAAATTACTTGAAAAGAGAAAGAAAGCAAAAGTAATGAACTTACTTCATATTTGATATAAAGAATGAGAAGATTGGCAAATGTCTCTGGTGGGAAAACCTGTTGCTGCATCAGGAACTGAAGCTTCCCAAAACCCTGTGTAGGATCACTGTCCATGTTAATTAGGGCTTGGTTGTGAAGAGTTACAACATCAAGTTCTTCTTCAGCCCTGGGTGGCATGTCTGTTAGGGCTTCACGAGCAGCTTTCACTAAAGTGTGCAAAAGAAAAATCTAAATTCATTTCAAGAAACTCAAAATATTATCACAACAGCAGTAAATAAATTCCAGATATTTATCAAAATTCTAAACTAAAATATTTAAGAAACATTTAACAGATGACAAGATTTTTATATTATATATATATATATATATATATAAATTTATATGTGTGTGGTAGTACATTGGAGAGATGAAGTTTAAATGCTACTTGAACACTAAAGTTGAGCCAGTCAGCTTGCTCATTCCTTGAATGAATCTAAGAGAATGATAAGATAAAGAATAAATAGAATGTTTATCAATCTAACATCTTTCACTTTTATAAAAGCATAATCTTAGAATGAAATATGAAGAAAAAAAATTCTAATATTTTTACTTTTGTGTTGTTTGATTTTCATTGGTTAATCATGTTTCACATGCATTTGACTTATTAAACAAATGTTAGTATAATTTATGGAATGCCAAATAAAAGGAGAGATATTCCAAAAATTAATGGATTCCAATCTTAACTGAAAAACTGTAAATATTGCTTTATGTCTATTTTGTTTATACGGAATTCAGATAATGTGTGTGTGTGTGTGTGTGTGTGTGTGTATGCATATGTATGTCTGTCTAGCAGGCATTATGTTTGGTGGGTTTTGACATGCTGATTTGATAAAGTTGTCCAAGACAATTGGAGACATAATTAGGAAGAAAAATAGATCCAACACCAATTCAGATGCTAGTGTTTATCAAATAAATTGCTTACAATGTAAAAGCATTTCTATCAGAGAGACAGCACAATAATCTAAAAGCTCATATCTACGAACACAAGAGAATTACATTTAAACAACCATTACAACTTACACATAATACACATGAACAAAACTGGCATAAGTTTGATTTTACAAAGGCCATCATAATTAAAAAAAAAAAAAGGACATAATTTTTTATGTTGAAACTACTTTGAGATTACTAATAACTATATTACCAACTATAAACACAGCAAAAACAATATTATGCCTACTAGACATGCACACACTTACGAATATGCATTATCATATGAATCCTACAAAGATAAACTAGAATTATTAAGCACTTACATACATAAAGCAATATTTAAGGTTTATCAGTTGAGCTTGAAATCCATTGACTTCAGAAATGTTGTCATCCTCCTTGAAATTGGAACACCATAAATTATACTAACATTTATTTAACAAGTTGAATACATGCAAAACATGAAAAATAAAAATCAAACAACACAAAAGTAAAATACCAGAATTTATTTCTTGTTTTTCTCCAGATCTCATTCTCTGATATTTGTTATATATATATATATATATATATATATATATATATATAACAAATGGAAAACATTTAACTGAAGCTAGATTTGATTATGCATTTCACCTTTTTAGGCAAAAAAAAATATATGTCTTTTAATTTCAACCCATTGTGAAGGTTTGTGTGAGGATTTACTATGGATTCGTTTCCAAAAAGACTATATATGAATTTCTTGCTTTTGAGCCATTCTGAAAATGAGATGAGGATTTACCTTTAATTCAATACACAAAAAAAAAAAAAAAGCTGGTAAAATATATTAACAACTTTCAATATGGACTAAGAATTATAAAAAAAAAAAAAAGATAAGAAATAAACATTAACAGCTATTTTAAAAATCACTCATTTTCTTCTTTCTTTAATCATGAGAAACACCACCTTAGGGAAAAAGTACACGGATTCATTATTTAAGCATACACACAATATATGCATAGACACATTTCTTTCTTTCTTTTTTGGGATCTGATGAAGCCTAAAAAGGTGAAATGTGTAATCAAATCTATTTTCAATGAAACGTTTTCCATTTGTCAAATTTCTTAAAAATTTCATCAGGATTCTATATCCTGTTTTTACAGATCAGGAGAGTACAATGGCAAAACAAAGAATAAGCATACGTTGTCAGTTGATAAAAAAAATCTTCCGAAAAATTGCTTGGGCCAACCACCTCTGTCTAAGCAAACAAGAAGACTCTTATAGAGTATTATCTGCTTAGTTTAGCATAAGGATACAAGTATGAAACACTGAGTTAGAGACCGAACACTACTCAGTCATAATGATCTGCGAGACTGGATTGCTGACCATGACAATGCCTACAGGCAGCATTTTGAAATTGATTATATCGTTATGAGTGAAGCTGTAGGAAAAAATGAATGTGACAGAAGCCAAGTAAGAGACACTGTCATCATGAATGAAGTTTTAACTCTCTCCTCAACTCAATTATATTTTGTGCCTAAAACAGATTTATATTAAATGTTCATATTCTTTAATTTGATTTCTTTTCCCCTCAAATATTCAAGATTTTATATTATAACTTTCTTGAAATCTATATACTTGCTAAGACATAAAGAATAATATTTGAAAATAAGGAAATACTACAAGGATAATAAAAGTTAATTATTTACTTGCTGTTTACATGACAAACAGGACATATAAATGAAATCAAAACTTTCATTCCCTCTAATGATGACAGATAAGAGATAGAGCAAGAAAACAATTATAACTGTAAAATTGGACCAGAACATCAATCTGCTAAGCTCAGCCATAGCCGGAATTTACACAAAGGTGGGTAGCAGGCACCATAAGTCAGTTTGGCTATCTGCTTCAGAGAAGGAAACTCCAACAGAAAACCTATGACTTTGTGACCTTTTTGCAATCATTCTATCCTGCTAGTGATGAAGTCACCTGATTTAAATGGTGTTATTGATATTATGCAGGTTGCATCCCACCTTAAAACTTAACTATTGCAGACGTGATGTTTAATGCGATCTGCAACTGCTAAAGGAGATCCTGAAAAAATGAAAAATCTTTGGTCACAAAGTGAAGCCATGACTTTAGTGCCAAGTCTGTTGGGAACAAATACAGAATGGGAAGGTTTCAGCTTTTACTTCTACTTCACTCCTTCAACTAACAAGCTAAATTTTTGGTCAGAAAGAAAAACATTTGATATTTAACCATAAAATTTTGCAGTTTTTGACTCCAAACTTCTTTTAATAAGTTTGGCACTCAATATGTATGTTGTGCATTATCAATGGTCAAGAATTAAAGCAAATGTTACTATCAAAAGTAAGGCTGTTATAAGTATAATGTAAATGCATTGCTGATGAGTTTACTGTAGAATTGTATTACAAATAATTTCAATGCACCATTTCCATTGTTCAAATTGTTGTCCTCATCTTTGTTGCCATATTCACAAAGTTTTGGCTGTATGCTCTGGCCTTCTTCAAGTGATTAGAATTTCAAACTGAATCCTTTATTTCGTCTACCATGGTAGAATTTTCTAGTTCCACATGCTATGCCTCTTCCAGATATCTCAGTATCAGTTATTTCCCTTTAACTCAACTCTCCAAGTTTTTGTTCACCGCTGTAGCCAGGTATTGAACTCACAACTCTTTGGGTCAAGTCACTGGATTATTTCAACAGTTTTTATCCACTGGGCCATGTGTCCATGAGGCAACAAAGATGAGGACAACAGTCCTAATAATGTAAATAATTGTCATACCTCATCTCAGAAATATAGACAGATTAATTTCAATGCATTGAAAATAAAGATACTATCAATGGTTTGGAAGTAAGATAGCAGTTACTGACAGAATAACAGACCTATTAAATTTACAATAATTACAATAATAGTAGGTAAGCTTTTTTGCTAGATCAACTACAATCCTTAAAAAGTTTAGTTACTACTGTCAATGAGATAAAAGACCTTGTTATACAATAGTAAAAAACACATTCATAAAAATGGATTTGTAAAGAGATTACATTCAGCAATATGCAATTAATAGTTTTTAAAATGTTTATTTAAATTAGGAAACATCAAAGTAAAAGAAATCTACAGGAAGTTTTATTGGTATTTTGAGAAATTTACTGAATGCATAAGAAAGAACAGATTTTAATTGGAAGGTCTTATTTGAAATAGAACTTAATTATTTACATGGAGGTGAAGTATTACTTATATCTGTTCATATTTAAAGAAGAGAAAAAGTGTTGACTTACAATTCTTCAGTTGGTATTCTATAGCAGCTTTCAGGTTGAATGCTTGCACTAAACCAGTCTCTTGTAAGAGCAAGCTGTTTCCTACACTTCTGGTGTCTAAACCCATTGTTGTCATTCCAACATCAAGATCTACAGAGAACACAAATTTAGTCAAAAGGTGAACATACCAAGAAATTTTACATCAGATATTATAAGTCATTTCATTTTACTAATATTAACTTAAGAGTCTTACAAAAGGTAACTTACATGGGCTGAGTGATAAGGCCTCTAATCTTATAACTTTTGAAAGTTATATCTGGTTTGAACCAGATAGAATAATGAAACTGGTATCAAAATGAAATCATTATTCTCTTCAAAATTACAAGTTTATTTTTTTAACATAGTCACTATTTGCTCATGTTCACTCTGTCTATAAAGAAAATCTGATTTTCATCCAACTGTGTACAGTCACCTTAGTTTTTGCAGTGATTGAAAAAGGTTTACCTTTCAATGCCTCTTTCAATTTCAGGAACAACCAGAAATCTTATGGCTACAGATTGGGGTTGCACAGACAATATGCACAACAAATTTTCATTTTCATTTTCTCACTCTGTGGATTTGAATTGTAATGATACAAAAAAAAAAACTCTTTTCAGGCCTTATTCTACAGATATACTCAATGCTTACAAAGTTTCATTGCTTTCATACAGATGGAAATTTCAATTAACATGCAACCTTCGAATGCCAAATATTTTATCACCAACAATTGCTTTACATATAACTTGGATATAGTACTCATGACGAATAAATGCTATTAGTCAATGCCTACACAAAGCAAATTGACACTAATCATATTTAATAGGGCTTTATATACAACCAAATATACACTCAGACAGGTTTCTATCTCCACTACTAGTGATGTCACAAGTTAGATTTTACTTACCAATGAAACCTCATGTACTGAATACATAATTTCTTGCTCAAAGTCTCTTTGAAACCAAAGATAGCAATGAATGGACTTCATTATAAATTCTAAACTAGCATAATTTTACTGTGGTGTGCATATCTCTATAAATGCTCATCTCATTTTATAAATGAGAAAAATACTTCTGAAAACAATGGCTTCTGTAGACACAATTACATTAAAATGGCATCAAATATGCTATCAATACTTTCATCAGTTACAAGCCTATGTGGTTCATATATTTTCATCTTGGTCTCTGTTGAAACTTCATTAATATGTTGTCTAATGGACTTTCTTAATATATGATTTGTGGCTTTCAATTAAGTAGAAAGTACAAGACAAAAAACTTGTTAATGTTTAACAGAATGTATTTATAATGCTGATGAATACAAAAGAGTAGAAAAAGTAATTCAACATTATTCTCAAGAGTGTACAAGACCTGTTCAGAATATATCCAACTATATTGAATAGCTCAAAAGTTGGTTCTATGGCATTGACATAACTTAGCAATCAATATTATAGGAGACATTACTGTGCACACAGAACCAGACACTATCACATTGGGTTACGCAGTCAGACATCATGGAGTGAGTTCTTTTGTATTTTTTTTTTTACTGTGTGAGTATTGCATCCACAAAGATAAAGCAAGTAGATTATTTACATCTTACAAAGTTTTTTTGATAAATCATCATCCACATCTGTCAGCTTCCCTTACACTCCAGCATTGGAATCCTGCAACTTGTGGTGTTTTCCTAAAGCTAAAATGACCATTGAAATATTGCAAACAAGATTAAAGAGAACAAAAAAATGCAGCTGATGGCAATCCTAAAAGAGAACTTTGCAGGCTGTAAAAGTGGAAGGGGTGATTGGATAAATGTACAAGGTATCAAGAAGAGTATTTTGCATAAGACTATGGCCAAGTGGTTAGAACATTTGCTTTTCGACCATGTAACCCAGGTTTGAATCTCACCATGGTCAATTTGTCAGGAAGGTGACTTCTTGATGTTATTGGTCTGGGAGAGGCGATTCTAGTGTGCAGCAACTTTGGTACATGCCTGAAAACCATTTCACGGGCTAACCAAAGCCTTGGGTAGACAGAACTATTGATGGTCATGAAGTTACAAGTCATCGTGACTGAGTGTTTGAGTGTGCTGACCTTGTGCAGGCTGTTGATCATGCCAGCTAATGTGCTCTTTCCCAGGAAGACAAATGTACCTGAGCAGGCGTCTGCAACAGGGATTGGCTAGCTGCCCTAGTCGGCAGGCATCCTAAAACACAAGCAGCCAGCCATAAGAAGACACCACTGCCCTAAGCAAGCTACTTTTTGATTTATTATTATTATTTAGTTTGGATATTTTCAAAGCAGATCTTCTATGTTAAAGGCAGGATACAATTGGGTTATAATTTCATGTGTGGAGCATATCAGTACAGAGCTTCACCTCCATAATTTAATGGGCAGAGAGTCTACATTTTCTTTAGGTTGTATCATGTAATAACAACAACATGGAGACAAACAAAATTCTGACTATTAGTGTAGGATGACCATTTGATTATCTGGATTTTTTCCCAGTTACTGACTGCTGTAATTTCATTAAAATTTTCCCATTTATCGAGTCTCATTTCAGACTATCATTTAATTATTTCATCTCGTATAATTCATGCTCAAAAGATGACTCATTAATTGAATACAAGAGAATCAATGTACAAATGCAACCATGTGACTTGTTTGAATGTGAATCATGCTTAATACATGCTATAATAAAATTAAAACGATCAAAAATACTATAGGAATTGAGACATAAAATTCTATCCTTCCAAATTATTAAGCATACTTGATAGTATTACAAAAGTATAAAAACCCTGAAAACCATACCTGCTTTAGATCATTAATCCTAATAAATCATTCTATACAAGTCGAGTTAAAAGTAGCACCTGGTTTGTTTTTACAGCTGTCAGTTGATGGATTATTTGCTATTTTTATTACAGTGTAAAAGATTTAAAATGAACAAGAGACATGTTTATCCAACAAGTTATTTGAGGGAAAATTATCAAGAAACTGTACCAAACTGTTTTATTTGTAACTACCAGTAGAGCCCGGCGTTGCCCAGGGATATAACAGTAAGTGATAGATCAAGTATCCACCATCATAAAGACTGAAAAATAAAATTGACAAAGATTATTGTTTAAGGTTGACGGACACGCATGTCTTAATTAGTTTTTTTTTTTTTTTTACGAATTGGTCAAACCCAAACTCAAACATTGTTTTCAATCGTTATGAGTCTCCCGATTGAATAGAATAATTTTATAAACAATTGTCTTGTAAATGGAATTTTTAAAGCATTCTGAATGTAAAAATAAAGAAAAAAAAAGTGCAAGACAATAAGAAACACTACATGCCAAAAAAAAAAAAAAAAAGAAAAAAGTGAAGTTTTGTTGAAATCGGTTGAAAAATGTAGGTAGCCTTTCTGTAATCTTTTTTTAGTTTTACAATTTATGATTTTTACTTATTGAATACAGTAAAAAAAAAATTGCATATTTTGCTTGTGGTGATTCATAATTAGAATTCTGATTTGAATATATTTTCCACTCGTTGTTTCTAATACAAAAAAATTAACTTTATTTGGGTTTATTAATTATGATCTAACAAATCTTATTCATTTAGTAGCCTTTCTGGTAATAATAATCTTTTTACAATTTATGATTTTTACTTATTGAATACAGTAAAAAAAAAATGGACACCATGTGTATTTAAAGTAGTTTCCCGTTCAGGTTATTATTTTTAGTTAGAACTTGTGTATGTTTAGATTTCATTATCTTTCCCTAAAGATAAAGAATTTATTCTGATGTTTGTATTCGCACAATCAGTAGAGATCGTTAGATTATTGTTTAAGGTTGACGGACACGCATGTCTTTTTTTTTTTTTTTTACGAATTGGTCAAACCCAAACTCAAACAAAAACATTGTTTTCAATCGTTATGAGTCTCCCAATTGAATAGAATTTTTTTATAAATAATTGTCTTGTAAATGGAATTTTTAAAGCATTCTGAATGTTAAAAATAAAGAAAAAAGTGTGCAAGAGAATAAGAAACACTACCTGCCAAAAAAAAAAAAAAAAAAAAAAAAAAAAAAAAGTTTTTGTTTTATCGGCTGAAAAATATAGGAAATCCGCTCCCATATTTAAAGGAACCCACACACACAAACGACCCGATGTGAGTTGTCCCCCTTCCATTTTAATGATGTCTCTTAATCGTGTTTTCAAATTGATGTTGTGCAAAAACAATTATATTTTTCCCATTTTTGGCGCTGTTAGAACCACCACAAGTAATTTTATGTAGTCCTGTGAAGTTTTGTTGAAATCGGTTGAAAAATGTAGGAAATCTGATCCAATATATAAACGTTACAGACACACACACACACAATCTGCGTTTTATAATAAGTAAGATGTTCAAAGTACCATCATGATCAATACACAATTGCAGGCTCAGAGTGGCACACACACACCTGCAGAGCTCAGTATCAATTTCCCCATACTTTGAAGTGATTTTAGCCTTTCTGAATGGTTCAAAATTTTACAATAAAAAACAAACTTTCATGAGCCTTGATTTGCAAAACTTTTAGTATGAAATCTGGGGAGTATACCAGATTTCATGCAATTGGATTTCAGTAACCAATCCACTTTCCAGAAAAGTTTTCATCAAGCCATTAAAAAAATATGAAAAACATAATAAAAGTGGAGTTCCATCATATTTGGAAATAATTATTTTGATTTTAAAAAAACCAGTACCAAAGCATCTTGACAAAAAAAAATTCAGCCTGTACATTCATAACTGTTATTAAGGAGTTGTCTCTTCTTGATACATTTTGTCAACCATCTGCAGTTTACTGCCATGTTGGAAAAAAAAAAAGAAAAGGTTAATTCATCATGACACTGTTAATCCTTGCAAAACTACAAGTGGTAAAAAAAACATGAACAAAATGTGCATTGGAATCAATAAATTCTATAAAACGGAGACAAACAACATAATTACTAACTAAAACCCACAAACAGGCTAGCATCATCATGATGATATATTGAAGTTAATATTCATCCTCACCTGGGTTTCCAGGATATATTTTTCTCGATAATCTCATTGATGTACTTGAGAGAGGCAGAATATTGTTTCATCATATAGAAGCAAACAGCAATATTGTAGCAGGTCTCAGCCTTGTAGCCAGTTACCTGAAGGGCTGCCACAAACTTTTTACAGGCTTCTTCATAATGACACTCCTGAAACAAAAACACAAATCTTCAATATGTACAGCATATTACAGAGATATAATCATAGCACACAATGTATAATTAGCATTTTTTGGTATTTTTTTATAAATACTCTTGATTTTGAGTAGGAAGTACAAAAGAGCTTTTGTGTACATCACAACTCATGAATTTGGTTGAGATTATGGTTCAGAACTTGTGAAGGGATTTGACATAGGGATTTAGTGAACAGCTTAGTCTGGTACAAGGTAACAAGAGTGAGGTCTTAACTAAGGACCAAATTCACTATAGAAGTAATGATCTACAAGACCACTTTGCTAGACCTTAAGTCTTATGACCATGAGTTCAATGCTAAATCAATTTTTTTTTTTTAATGAAAAGTGAATTATTTTCTAACTTTCCTTTATATGCATTCTCTAATTTCCAAGAGTTGTTCAGACTTAACTCATTTTTTCTTTTTTTTGGTTTTACCACACCATTTTAACAGCCTTCTTCAGGTGCACAATAGATAAAGAGAATAGGTCTATTTTTCATAACAATGACAAATATATTGATCAGATTAGCTCATTCATAACAAAGTGTACAATACAGACAATTCCATTCTCATCAGCCTATGTAACACAAGTGATTCTATATTTTTTTTTATATGTAAATTAAAATCTCCAATTACTTTGCTAAACACAATGATTCACATCACACACTGAAATTAACACTGGAAAGGCTTATACATTTGTATTAGTAAGACTTTTTTTGTCTGTTAGGGTTTATGTTTGTTTTGTATCCAACTCTAATTATATTTTAAATAAAACACAAAAAAATATAATTCCTGTAATTTTATTTTATGGCATTTCAACTCCTTTAGGATTATTTAATGACATTATTGTTTAATGGGGAATAGTTCTGTTTTAGTTTGAAATTTGTGTTAATTTTTAATTTCATATAATCATGAGAATGATGGAATTAAAAAACAGTTGTGTAACTACACACAGAAAAATCTTTGAAAATGAATGTACCAACATTTGAAAATACTCATGTGGGGGAAAAACATAATACAAAATAGAAGTTGATATCAATTTTGGCAAATTTTGCAATAACACAAAACAACTTATTCAGAAATCTTAAAGATTTAATTAAAAATTTGATAGACAGAACTTGTCCATATTATTTAACAAAACATGTTTGAAAGAATTATTGCTGCTGAAATACACCTTATATGCACACACACACACACACACACATACACACAGTCAGTGATAACCAGAATTATCTAATTTATGTACAAAGTATACCAAAATATTTTATATGTTCTAAGATGTTTGGGAACTAGTGTACTAGAGTTTTGGTCCTTCATGAAAATAGTCAATATGACTTAGAAGACAACAGTAGGGAAGTGGAGTAATGTTTTTTTGTTTGGCAATGGAATTATAGATCCATTGAAAGTGAATCAGAGTGTCAAGATAAATGCAGAAATTAAAACAGCTAATAATAAAACTCAACATCCACAAAACAAGTTATTATCAATATTTTTAATAAAGAGAAATATTATATTATTAAAATGATACAAACTCTTGTTCATGTAAATGTATAACTTGGAAATTTTACCAACATTGGCTGTTTATTAGCAATTTTAATGCAAAAACATTGACTTGCATAATAAGATCTGATAATGTATTGTGTAGATTAATATCAGTGCTATATCAGACTGTCCTAGAGACAATATTATGGTCTCTTTCCTCTTCAGTCTGCCATATCAGACTTTTCTACTTCCTCTTTGGATTTAGCTTTGTTTTGTTTCTTCAGTCTGACTTTCATTTCTATAATTTTGGTTCTTAACAATAAACCTATAAAGAATTAGAAATAATTATTCCTCTTCATGTGACATGTTCCCTCAGGATGTAGGCTCTCCACAATTTCCTGTCCTTTGTAGCTTTTAATAAATTCTGTCTTTTTGTTATTTCTCCCAAACCCTGTTCCACCATCCATTTACTCAAGCTCACTAAGTATGATGCATTGTTTTCCCCTGTCCCATGAGTATCAGATTTTCCAAGCCCTCTTTCTTCATTATGTGTCCTAGAAATTTCAACTGTCTCTTCATGATTTTTAAGTTTCTTTTTTGTTTCCACTGCCTCTAGAACGTCATCATAGCTCACATATTCAATCCATTGTATCCTCTTCTGTAGAACCACATTTCTGCTGCATCAAGTCTCTCCATCTTTGAGGAGATTATCCAGCATTCACTGCCATATAGGAGGACATATCGCATAATAGTTCAGTACTCTTTTCTTTGTTTCTAACAAATTTTTCCCCGTTTCTTTATACTCTGCTTAGCTTTTGGAATGCATCTTTGGCTATCCCAATGCACTCTTGGATTTCAGTATTGCACTTTACTTCCTCTGTTAAAACACTTCCCAGATATTTAATTTTTTTTACTTGTTTGATTTTGGTATTTCCGATTTGTAATTTGTATTTTAGGCTTATCCTTTTGCTAACTACCATGCAATCTGTCTTCCTTGCAATTGATGTTTAATCCTTTTGTCTCAATTTCCTTCACTACCTTCTGTAGGAATTTTTGTAGTTTTCTTTTCTTTCTGAGCATCATCTGCATATCTTGTTAAGATTGTGACCATCAATAATGAATCCTGGTAGGATTTCTCATTCTCTCAGAATTGCCTTTCTGTATAGGTTCAATAAGTCTAGTAAGAAGACATTCTTGCCTTATGCCACTTTCTAATTTTTCTGTATTTACTGAATTCATTTTCTATCCATATGCAGGCAGTTTGCTGCTAGTACAGTTCATTGATTATTCTAATATTCTTTCCAAATATGTCAAGGTTGCTGAACAGTTCTAACAGATCTTTGTGACATACTTTATTGAATGACTTTATGCAATCTATAAAACACAGGTACAAGTCTTTCTGAATTTGTATTGTTCTTTTTGATAACATTCTAAGCATATGTTTTAAAATATTTTGAAAGGGACAAATTTATCAGTTTTGATCATTTTCAAAAACATTAAATGATAAAAATTGTAAAATCTGAAAAGTAAAAGCATGGTGTCAACTTTCATGTAACAAAAGGAAGAATAAATCTTCAAAATTTAAGGAGAAAAAGTTTACCTTAAACAAAATACAAGCTTGGTTGAGTTCTGTATCTGAATCTTGGGAAGGACATTGGTCAACAAGTGCCTAAAAAAGAGATTTTGCAAAAAGCAAATTTTAAATTTAAATCAGAACACTAAAGAATTTTAATTTGCTTATATATTGTGCATTCTTATAAAATTTGTTTCAGATGAAATTATTTTTTAAATAATTTCATCTGAAACAAATTTTATATGAGTTTTATACTACAAGAAATCCTAAGAACAATGCATTATTTAATTTTCAAATCCTACAAAAAAAATAAACTAAATGCACAATATATAAAAGAACAAATTTTTACAAAAGATATACATATATAATATATCTGTGTGTATATATATATATATATATATATATATATATATATATATTACATGGAACAGAGATTATTCATTCAAATAATTATATTAAGTTTTTAAATTTGTTTTGAAACACGAGAACTCTTATGTAGTTAAGAATCAGATTTTTAAATAAATAATTATATATATATATATACTCCTGGTCAAAATCTTAAGACCAGATACAAAATAAAAAAATATAAAATATATTTTAATCAAAATGTATTTGTAAACATTTTTAATTAGAAAATGTAGTTTATTAACAAACAAGTGAACATTTTAAGCTTTTAATTGATTAATTTAAACAAACATTGAAAAAAGGATTTTATTGGTTGGTCATAAAGATAAGACCATGTAAATAAAAATAGCAAATACAGAACAAATAAGTCACAATGACAATTTAATTCTCAGTATATCCTCCATATTTGTGAATTACTTTGAAAATTCACTTTGGCCTACTCATTATTAACTTCTGCATGAGGGTGCTTGGGATGCTCACCCAGGATGCATAAACTGCCGCGCGAAGAACATCCACAGTTTCAAATTCCAATCCATGTTTATAAACATCCTTTGCCATCCAATCCCAAACATTCTCGGTTGGGTTTCAAACTGGAGAGCATTGTGGATTGCAGCATTGTACTGCTGGAAAATCCAGTTTTCTCCACATAGATGAGGTTCTTCAGTAATTAGCGATGCCTTTCTTAACATGTCAATGTAATGAGTAGCTTTTTGATGACCTTTTACCTCCAAAAGTTCCATTGTACAAAAATGAACCTCAGACTATAATTGATCCACGTCCATTGTGTTGTGTTGAGAAAATTTCTTTTGAGACATTTTTTTGCATGCCAGTAACACTGAAAACCGTCTGAGCCATCAAAAATGAATTTTTCTTGTCTGAAAACAACACTTTCTTCCATTTATCCACCTCCCAAGTTTGATAATGAGAAGCAAATTGTAAACAGGAGGTTTTATGACGAAGAAGAAGGCGAGGCCTCTGCAGCCATTTCAAGCTCTTAAACTGTTTCTTATTTAAATGCTATTGAATTGTTCGAGAGCTGTATTCAGCATCTGTATTCACTTTTATCTGATTTGATGTTAGGCTTGAATCTCTCTTAACTTCTCGCCTAATGTGTCTGTCTAGAGATGGTGAGATTTTATTGGTGTGACCGATTGATTTTTAGAAGCATACACATCCGGATTTTTAATGAAGTTAGCAATGACAGTTCTGCTATGGCCAATTTCATTTGCAATGGCTTGTTGAAGTTCAAGAATCCTGCCCTGTTTGAATTTTGTTAAAATTTTACCCTTAGCCAATTTAAAATCTGAAATTTAATACTGGAAATGAGCTATGTAGATGTCTACACACCTGAAGCTATGAGCACACTGACTAGTTCTAAAATTTTTGTCCAGTAATTTGTTTTTTTCACACATGGTCTTATCTTTATGACCAACCAAAAAAATCCTTTTTTCAATGTTTGTTTAAATTAATCAATTAAAAGCTTAAAATTTTCACTTGTTTGTTGATAAACTACATTTTCTAATTAAATGTAAATGTTTCGCAAATATATTTTGATTAAAGTAACAGTATTTTATATTTCTTTTAACCCTTTTGTATCTCGTCTTAAGATTTTGATCAGGAGGTGCAATTTATCTCATCGTCAGTCATCTTGGTCATAGGATTGTCACTGGCATACAAGAGAAACAAGTAATTGCAGTAAAATGCTTGATATGACTACTGCCACTGTGGACAGAAGATGTGTGTGTGTGTGTGTGTGTGTGTGTGTGTGTGTGTGTGTGTGTGTGTGTGCATTTAGGCAGCAATCCTTCTTTCATGCACATTTCATTGAATACGACAGACAAGGTGCTTTGATTTAGTTTTTTTAAACAATTTCTCATGTGATATAATAATATTTTTCTTTTTAGATAATAAGTTACATAAAAAATGTCCAAATGTTCTTTTTATCCAAGCACTTTCAGCTATACATTTAGCCATTTTCAAGGTTGAAATATATTAACAGTTAACAAGAAATAGTTTGTTGCATGTATGTATTTATATAATGTTTTCATTTTCAAAACACGGTCAAGATATTGTGTTCATTTTCATAGTTGATATTATTGAGTGTTGTTTTTTTTTTTGTTTTTTTTTTATTAATAAGGCTACCATTATTTTTAGCCTTTTTTTGTATGTAGATGATGCTATTATATTTGTGTTATCAACAAGTATTTTATGAATATGGTCCAGTAGGTCTCCATGAATATTTAAATGAGATCTAATTGAGCTATGGTGAGAAAGGTGTAGAGTGAGTTTTCGTGTGAAACATTTAGTGCGGCCTATATAATTCTTTATGAATTTTGATTGATCAGGAATACAATTCCTTAAATGGACATTTAAATTCGTAAATAATATTTGTCCTATTTTATTTTGTTCTAAGAGGTGAATTATTATTTTTAACTATAAGGTTAGAGGTTTTAAATTTTTTGTAATAAATAATTTAATTTTTTTGCTACAGTCAACTGGTGTTGTGCATTTTTTTATAATGTTCTTAATTCTACTTTCGTCTTGTTTATGATTTTTGTTCATTTGATTTTTATAAAAAATATTAATGTTATTGTTTATGTTTCTATTTTCGTCGTTGCTATTAGCTACCTTAGACAGAAAATTCCGAATTAGGAAATCCATTATTAATAAGCATTTGTTTTACATTGTTTAATTCTTTAATGAAACGCTTGCAAGAGGATGAATTCTCGTGTGCTCTCATGAGGAAATTTTTAATAACGCCTATTTTATATCTAAGAAGGCATTCACTAGAGAAATTAAGATGGCAAGAGTCTTTACTAGTTGTTTTTTTTATAAACAGAAGTTTTAAAAGTATTATTACTAAAATCGATGGGAGCATCTAAGAAAAGAAGTTTATTTTTTTCACTAAGTTCATAAATAAAATTTAGGACGGAATTTTGTTGAAATGTAGCTTTCAGATTTTCTATTTCTTTCTTGTTTTCAGCTAAAATAAATATATCGTCTACATAACAAACATATATTTTAGGTTTAATAACTTTAGTAAAAAAACCTTGTTTTCAACATAGGACATATAATAATTGGAGAAGCATGGCCCAAGAGGATTTCCCATACTTACCCCATCAGTTTGTGTGTAAATAGTACCATTCTGGCTATAAAAAGGAAATCTAGTGGTGCAAGCGAGCAATAGTTTTCTTAAAATATTGGGTTGGATTGATGGAGGTGGAATTGAATTATTTTTATACACTGAATGATAATATCAATAGTTTCGGAAACGGGAACGTTAGTAAATAAATTCTCAACATCAAGTGATGCAAGAATGCCTTCGTTTGTTTTTACTTTTGTGCTTTTAAGTATTTGAAGCAATTCATGGGTAGATTTACTGCTATAGTTAGTAGGGAGATATGGGGTAATAATATCATTGAGAAATTTTGATAGTTGGTATATGCATGTTGGAATCTGAGAAATGATAGGTCATAATGGGGATGTGTATTTTAACATTACCGTATAAGTATCCAGGTTGATAATCTCCAATAATTTTTTATATTTTTAGGGATACAGCAACAGCATTGTTGGATGTTTATGAGTTTATTAACATATTTCTTTAGAGATTCAGTGGTGTTCTTATTCAATTTAGTAAGTTTAGAACGATCATCAATGAGGTGCTGAAGTTTTTTGTGATAATTCAATTTATCCAAAATTATGTAGATATTGGATTTATCCACTTTTCTGATGACTAATATTAGGGTTGTTTTTTAATTCTTTATCAGTAATTTTGACTTTTGCTGGAATGTTCTTGATTCTATTACATGGAATATAATCTTTTAGACCTTCTACCTTGAGAAGATCTTTGAGGTTTGGATGGAATATTATCAATTTGTCCTTTTCTAGTTGACATAATGATTGATGTAAGATTTCAGTCTTCTTTGTGAGGAGGTCGAATTTAGGCTAGAGATGGCAATTTGGTCCTACATTTAGAAATTCCTTCTGATCATCCATTAATATGTGACTGGATAGGTTTATGTATTTATCATAGTTGTTAGGAAGTAGAATATTTCCTTGGTATAAGTTGTCCAATTTATACCAAGGAAATAGAGTGTGTGTGTGTGTGTGTGTGTGTATGTGCGCGCACTTCAAAAAGTGCGTAGGCTAATGATGAAATAATTCATTTATTTTACAAATATTTTTCAACATAACCTCCTTTATCAATGCACTCAATTTAGCAATAAATATTACTCACTTTGGTCAAATATTATACAGTGAAAATATCAGATCAACATTCAGTTGCAGCAGACTATGGACTTATTGATCTACCTTCATCTATGTACACACACACACACAAAGTACTTGGCCTGATCAAGAGATGTTTGTTAATTTGGTCAAAATTTGGTTAAGCCAAGAATGTTTCAGCATCCCCTCATTATATACATGGACTGATTTCTTGTGTCCATTTGTAGCCATTATTTGACGTCATATCATTCCAGTTTCACTAGTATGCAGTACAAATGTGACTTTTAAAGCCCAGCCAGGGAACCACACAGTCTGCCACATTCGTTATTAATTTGTATTAAATTTAAATGACATTTTGGGTTGCAGACAGCCATTGAACATTAAAAAAAACAACAACAAAAAAACTCAGACCCTTTGGTGTTGATATATATATATATATATATATATATATATATATATATATATATATATATATATATAGAGAGAGAGAGAGAGAGAGCTGGCATGTAATAATATTTTTACAATTTACATGAGTAAAAAATATATTAAATAACTTTTTAAAATAACATTTTTGTGATTTATATTTGACTGGTTTTTAACTGAAGTAAATAAGGTTCTTTATTTATGCTATCAAGTTTCTTACATTATATTAAAAAATGGAAACTGCAATTGCTGCACATGAGTAGATTGTGTGTGACACAAACACATGTATATATAATATTATTGGATCAAATTAACAAAATTATTATTATTATCTTTTTGTCATCAATACTGTTGGTTTTTTAGCTGCCGTGATGTTTGTTGCTGATAATATTAAGACCCATATAAATTGTGTGTGTCCCTTTCTTACTTCTCTAGTAGGGCAAATATGCTTTCTTCACTTTGTGGTGACACAAAAAAGTTGAATTAATTATCCTAATAATTGTAAAGGATATAAAGTCTTCCACTAATTCAACAACACCAAAATTATTCCAAAGAGAAATGTTGTTACCTTTGCTCCAGACAAATCATCCTCCCCATATTTGATAGCAGCCTGCAATTTTGTAATCTGCAAATTAAAAGGACACACATCAACATTAAGTTTCTTTATCTAAAACATCCCTTAAGCTTGATTTTTACTTATATTTTTAATGGCAAAGTAAAACAAATAAGATGAACTCATTTAATTCTACATTATATCAACAATTATGTGTATGTGTGCGCGTGCATGGTGACAATCAAAATTTTAAAATCAAAAATGCAGTGACCAGCAGAGCCAAATCATCACTTGGCAGTTTGATGATCAAGGTGACAGCTATTATGCAAGTCTATATCTTTTTAAAATTAAACTAGTAGCAATAATTAACAACCAATGTTGGTAAAATTTCCAAGACTCCCATTTATATGAGCAATATATCATGTGAGTTTGTTTTGATCTCTCTTAATAAAATGTTGCATATCAGGTTTTATTAGGTAAGCAAAGTACATTAGTTTTTTTTTATTTTTATTTATAAATAAATAAATAAAAAAAAAAAACAAACATATTTAACAAAATATTCATTCTAACTGAATAAATTATTTTCTATTTTAATATGTATCTCCTTAACATTTTATGACCATCATTCGTTCAACCATTGATTTTGATAACTGATGTAATGAATATGCATACACCTGGGTTCCCCCTCACAGTAATATGATTGGCTGGTGTCAGCCATAAATACAGACTGATATGGAGGTACATAAACTACGCCTATTGCTTACCACTACGATGAGGACCAGTCCATTACGGTTACCTGCTAGATTGTCCTACTCAGTTACAGTAGTCCAAAACCACTTTGCTACTTCAAACAAATATATTCCTTTCCAGGAAATATCAATAACTTTAACAGTTTGCAACAGTTTGGATTACTGCCATGAGATCTTATTTAGTTGAATATTGCTTTCTATTCTCATACACATCTTTTTCAATGATGGATCCCAAGTTTTCTGTTGTATTAATATCTTGAAAGGTTGGGAACCATTCCATTAATTATAGAATTTATAACCATTAGAAACTGAAATTCATATAGGATATCCATCATAGGAATATTCAAAGAAGTATATCCAAGAGAATTTACAAACACTAATTGGTTACGATCAATTTTACTGTTAAGAGACTTGCATAATAAAATCTGACATAGCACTGTTTCAATTAAATGAATCAAAAATTGCACCTTTATCTTTTTTCATTATTTTCATTTTTTTTTTCAGATCTCATATAAGCAGCCATGTTGCAAAGATCCTGAATACCTCAAGTCCAAGATCTTTAATCAATACATTTCAAGATATTCTAATGGAAAATAATGATTATCTGTCCTTAATGGCAGCTACAATTTGTGTGCAGACAATAAGCCTTAATAATTCTTTATAAATTCACGAGGCTAAATTTTGTCAGTGTCTCTCCACCTTACATCAGTAGAACAAAACATCCTAGCCTGTACAGCTAACACATAATGGATGCACTATTGGCCTCCTATATATATATATATATATATATATATATATATATATAAAAATAGTATTTACAATATAAGTGTAAAAAAAAAAAATTTCCATAAATTTTTTATATGTATATGTTAATATATTTTTCATCTTTATTATTTGTTTTAAAGGCAAATTTGAAAAAAAAAAATAATTTATGAGCAATGTTTCAGTTGGTGAAATTTTTTTTAATTTATTATGGTTGAATAGAATTATTTATATCTGTATTGTCAAAATTCAGTCATTAGCAGAAAAAAATACCAGTGTGTTTACATTTAAATATAACATAAAATAAATATAATCTTGACTTCCAAAAATCCTATTTAAAAAAAAAAAAAAAATATTCAAATTTTTATAAAATTCTAAGACCAACAATATTAGTTACAATCTTATTTCCTGCAATGTTCACAGCAAACACTTGTTGTTATCTAACATTTTCCATTATGATCGCAACAGAGCCAAAAGAAAGTTTTATGGAATAAAGTCAAAATAACGTGTTCAATTAGATCTTTGAAAATTAACATTATTTAAATGTTCAAAAATTAGTAAGTTTGATGAATTAATTATTATTAATGCAAACATTAGAAAATTATTCAAATGTTTCTCTTGTGGTCAGCTCCATGCAGCTATGTCCTGAGTAGAAGATTCAAGTGAACCTAGCATAATAACAAAAAGAAATTTAGAAAATAGATGTCTTGCTGAAATTTTAAAGCTAAAAAGAATTTCTATTGCAACTTTTTTTCTGTTTGTAGGATGTGTATTTGGTTAGTTACATAAATAAGAGGAAAGAGACAATGCTCTACAAAATGTTGTTCATTAATTTCCAAGATGGGACAACCCAACTGAGCACTTGTCTCTGTATGTTTCATCTGCACACAAAGAACTCAGTGGCAACTCTAGGTCATTAATGTTTGTCAAACTCATTAGAATCTTTAACAAAATATACTATTGGTATAACTTAGATGCTAAAATGATTCCTTTACTTTAACTAAAATATATAATTTTTTAAAATCTCTGTGCATGAAATAAAAAAAAAAAAACAAAAAAACATTTTGATATTTTAATATTAATTAATAATTCTATAAACATTTTTTTCTAGAGATGTAAAAAAAAAAAAAAAAAAAAAGAGTGACAACAAAGTCTTTGATATATTTGTCTGTTTATTGCACACTTTCCATTTTTTTATTGTTTTATAGCCTGGTTATCAAGTCACTAAAGATAGAGATAAGAGTAGTTGATTGAGATCATATTTTTTAAACACTACCCCAGTCATGCTCCTCACCCGAACCCTCCAGTTGATGAGTTAATGCTGCCACTTTCTTTGACTTTTGCCAACTTTAAGTTGAACTAAATTTAATTTGCCCTTTTTCAATGGATACCACCTGCTAAAAAAACCTTATACTGTATAGAATGAATTATTTAAAATGGACATTTGAAAACAATAAGTTGAAATAAAAATGTACTTTTTGAAAAAACAGGGCATACAAGCCATTAAAGATTTTTAAAAGATTATTTATAAAATTAAACCAAGAAATAAATTAACTATTAACTATGTCTCCAGCTTTGATAGGGCTCAGATCTATGCAGCCCAACTAGACACGTTAATTTTATTTCATTCCTTTTTTTACTTTCTTTGTTTTTTTTTTTTCTTTCTTTCTTTTTTAGTATGAACAATATCAACAAAATTTATTTTGGTCAAGTAATCTTTTTTGAAAGTGGGTCAAAGTGGTCATATGTTTGGGAATTGCAGGCCAAGATAAATTCAAAATATAAGTATAGAGAAATATAAAACAAAGGTAATGCTGTATCTTTAATCATTTATTTTAAATATTTTTCATTATGAATAAAAAACTAATAAAATTCTCTTAACCTTAGTGTGAAAAATAAAAGCACAATAAGATAGATGAAACACCTTTTTGAAATTTGTATTTCCTCTCATCAAAATTGACTGCAAATGTTGATCACTTAAGCCCAACCTCTAAGCAGATTTAGCATATTTATCTTTGAAAATGCTTTCTTACATAAATATACTGCACCAAATACTGAAACTACTAGGCAAATTTATTCAAAGAACCATATCTCTCATTTTAACTTTCATGAGACAGATGTACCTCAAGGCAGTATATATTTTATAACCCTGTTCATCATCAAAATTAACAATATCAAACAATTAACACAGGGTTTGAAAAATCCTTATACATAGATGACTTTTCAATCAGCTGCTCATCTCTCAACATACAATCATTGGAAAGGCAAATGCAAAATTGTCTCAATAGAAAAATGGATAAACAAGAATAGTTTTGATTTTTCAAAAGACCAAAACAGTATGTGTGCATTTCTGCAAAAAACAAATATATCACCCAGACCTCCAATTAAAAAAAAAAATCAATTGAAACACAATACCAATAATTCAAAAGACTAAATTCTTAGGAATCATAATAGACAACAAACGTATCTTCATAAATCACAGAAATAATCTAAAATAAAAATGCCAACAAGCAATAAGCCTTGTTAAAACAATCTAAAAAATAAACAAATGAATTGGAGAGCAGACTGCAAAATAATGCTGAAGATTTATTGGTCACACATAAGATCTAAATTAGATTCCAGCCGCTGCATAACCTGTAGTTCAACTCATAAATCTTACATCAAAAAATACTCCCAATCCAAAATCAGTGACTAATACAAAGCCTGGGAGCCTTCTGAACTTTATCCATAGACAGCCCTAATATAGAAGCCAACAAACTGCCATTTTAAGGTTTGAAAAATTAGCCTTACAATATTCATTAAAAATTCAAAGAAACTGAAATAATCCAACACATGAAAGAACTTTCAAATTACGATAGACACACTTTTACACCAGCAAGCATCACCTCCTTTGGTTACTGAATCAAAGAAGCACTCACACAAATAAACAAATGCTCCATCATCATAGCTCTCTTGAACTCACACAACTCACCTCTATAGATATTTAACAAACCTCATATAGACCTAACACTAACTCAACAAAAACACTACAATTAACATTATAAATAGAAGCAAGTTTGCCAAACTAAAACAAATATTGAACCATAGATACTGATTATTTTATTATTTCAGAATAATAATTCATACTAGATGGTCTACAGGTTAAGTGAAATATCATGGCAGGTTGAATTTGCTGATCCCTCGTCTAAAAACTTTCAGCAACTTTGATCACTTTATGGTTTTTCCATTCAAAGTTAATTTTATTTCAACTGTGAAATTCAAATTGATTGTTTTACTGATTGTCATACAATATGATGCATTGAAAAGGTTGACAAATTCAATGAAACTAACAAATCAAAGTCATTCTCGTTGGCACATTTAAGATATCAAATTTACTTTCATCAAGTCAATTACACTCGTTGATATTATAAATGTTATATTTAATGGATAGACACCTGTTTTAAAGAAGAAAAATGTGCCTTTCTTTATTAAAATAAGCCCAAGCCAGCAGACTTCAATTATACTGTTTAAAAAATGGCTATGTCTACTCAAACACATGTATCCACTAAATATAATGTTTATAGTAACAAGAAATACTGTCAGATTATAAATAAAATCAGTTCCTTAAAAATTGTTGATATATTACAACCAGAAGCTTGAATTGCATGCTGGGAGGATTTCTCTTAAAATCTTGAATAATTCTTGAAAACTGACTAAATTCTTAGGAAAAGAATGAAGATGAGAAACTCTTCATAACATTCCTTGTATCTGAACAATGGGAACATTCAATCAGCTTCTTTTAATCATATTATCTAGTGAAGTTGAAAAATGCACAGGTGTTATTGAATGCCAAACTTATTTTGTAAGACAGCTAAGAGAAAAGAAGACAAGAAAATTATCCCTTCCTTGGATGAGAGAGAGACTTACTTTGACTTGATATTCTGGGTTTTCAATCTGACAGGACACTTTCATGGCCTCTTGATAAAGGCAAGCTTTGTATAGTGACTGAGCATAATAGAGTCTATAATCATCTACTTCAGGATGAAGAATGCTAAGTTGTTCATAGCAGTCGGCTGCTTCCACGAAATTCTGCAATTGGAAATTGCAGTAGCCAAGCAGTGATAGAGCAGCACGAGACTGAAAAGAAAAAAAAAAACATTTACAAAATTTTTTCAGTTATATATAGAAAGTAAAAATCTTCAATTACTGACCAAGATTCAGATTAGGTAAACATTTTTGAGTGGTCATCTAGATAAAGGATTGTAAATAAATCAAGGTAAATTAAACAGACTTTCAAAAATTTACCAACCTAATGGCCATTACTTTTACTGGCCATGCAAGTCTTGTTAGTTAAAAAAAAAAAAAAAAACTTTCAAATATATTGCCTTTTTTTTGCAAGACCAATGAAATAGAATATTTGATGGCATGTAAAATACATTATTTTCCCCAAAATATTAGATTTTCTTAAATTTGTAATAAATGCACTAAAAGGAAACTGGTTTTAAATTGAGTCAAACAGAATACAGATAAAGTTTCAGTAACATGCAATGTACCATCCAAAAATATTTTATTACGATACTTGACAAATGAAGATGTCTGTGAAGATCTTATATGTACTTCAGCAATATGAATATTTACAATGTGCATTTGTGCAGCTTCTGAAAGAAAAATATCATTAACATTGATGCTTGTATTTGCTATCATCTACTGTATAAATTACCAGTTGCCTACTGCATAGCATTTGGAGGAACTGGAATGCTTTAAAAGATTTGCTAAATTAACATGGAATTCTTCAAGTCATAAAAGCTATTTTATCAAAGAGCATAAAAATATAGATGGCATTTTCTTACTAGTGGATGGCAGCTCTGCAAGAATGCACTGAACAACAGCAAATCCTCAATACCTCCTCTATTCAATCAATTCAAAGTCCTAAATTCTACAGCAGATAAGGTTGAATGCTTTGCTTAGAAATTCTCTTCCAACTCAGCACTGGACTCATTTGGAGTACCCACTCTGGATTTCCCCACTGGAATTGAGGCTCTACATAAAACTGTCACTGGTCTCAGACATCATTTCTAAATTAGACTCCCATAAGGCAAGTGGAGGTGACAGGATCCCAGCTGTCATCCTAAAGAAATGTGCTCCCGGGCTGGCTCCAGCTCCTCCAAACTCTACAACTATTGCCTTGCTGCTTCCTAGCTTGTTGGATGTCCTCCTCTGTAGTTCCTGATTTTAAGAAATCAGGAGAACCTTCTGACCCCTACAACCCTATTAGTCTCCTATTGTCCTATTAGTCTCCTACTGCTTTTTGGCAAAGTATTCAGTGCTGAAGTGGTTAATCATCTTAACTCTCATGACCTACTCTCTGACAAACAATATGGATTCTGTTTTTCCCAGTCTACCACTAATGTGCTTACATCCATCATTGAATATGTATATCAAGCTCTTGATAATAATGATGAAGATAGAGCTGTGGCTCTAGATATCTCCAAGGTATTTGACAGTTTACTCCTGTCTCAATAGCAAATCTGTCAGAGTTGACAAAGTTAAGCTGGCTGCTGCTCTTAAAAAGGACCTCTAATCAGTGATTAACTGGAGCAGAAAATGGCTTGTAAATTTTAATGCCTCCAAAACTAAACTGCTCTTATTTAACTGCCATAGAGAAACTTCCCTGCCCACCATCAACATGGCTGATGCTCAACTCTTAGAGAGCATCTTGTTGCACCTTCTTGGCCTCACATTTTCAATGGACTTAAAGTGGAATGACTACATTAAATCAATAACTGCCTCTAACAGAAGGAAAGTTGGTTCATTCTGTTGTGCCAGATGGTTTTTATCATCAGAGCTAATCTTGCATATTTAGAAATCTACCATTTGGCTATGCATTGAATACTGTAGCCATATCTGGTCTGGCACTCCTGCTATTCATCTTGTGATTCTTGACCAAATCCAAAGAAAGATCTGCAATATAATAGATCCTGCCTTGGCATATTGATTTCAGTTACTTTCTCGCATACATGTGGCTTCCCTGTTTTTTTCTACAAATATTTTCATGGCATGTGATCTGACAAGCTTTTTTATCCTGGTGCCCCCACTACATAAATTTTAACCTAACATCTAGGTCCCACCCCTTTTACTGTTGAAATAGTTAAATGTAACAGCCACTTCTACTTCAACAGTTTCTTTTCTTGCACTTCCCAACAGTGAACCTCACTCCCATTTACTTGTTTCCCTGAAAACTACAATCTTCAAAAATTTAAATGCAAAAGTCAATCACCATTTTTTGTCATCTTATCCTTATTTTATCCTTTCCTCAATCCCCACCCCCATACCCAGTCCTTTCTCTCACTTTCACTCTCTGTAACACCTTTGTTCTAGTGGCACTCCTGCATCTCCTTGGGATGAACTAATTAAAAAAATTATATATATATATATATATATATATATATATATATGTATAAACAAAAAGTTAAGAATCTCCTCACTTACCTTTGGATGAGTTTCAAGTTGATGGTTTAATAGTCGAGCAGCTTCCATATATCTCTGATCCCGGATCTTTTAGGAAAAGGAAATATAAATTTGTAAACAGGTTTGCTTGGCTGAAATTATTATTCTTTGATATTAAATCCCCTCCACCCTAGACGATCATTGTAAGAGTTAAGGACTGCCTTGCCTCTATCCTATTAAGGTTGTTTTTGATAAAAATCATGATGAAAGAGAATTGGAATGTCTCCCAACTGCAGAGTCCCATTATTAATTCTCTTAGATTGTACCAATAATTTTTTTTCTAATTTGGGTTTATATTGATCTTATTTTTTTAGAAACAAGGTTTTATTTTAGTTTATAACATTATTAGTAATATGCAGTAAAAGAAAATACAAAACTAAACTTACACTAATGGTTTTGTCTCATTTTTATAACAAATAGCTTTTTTTCTTTGTCTTCCTGATTTAAATTTAGTAAAGGTTATTTTCAGTTTAAAGAAAAATTTACTTTTGCATGTTTTCAATTACATCTTTTTTAACCCGACTTAGACAAATAGCTGTTGTGGGGTTCAGTGATGTGTTGGTCTTGTCTGAATGTTATTTTCATATTTTTTTTTGGTGTGGTTGAAAAGGCCATCACTCAACCATAACAGGATTGTAATATTATAAGCAAAATTACACATAAGGTATCACTGAATATAATTCAGAAAGTTTGTGTTTTTTATGGGGTATAGGAAAAACAATAAATTGACTTATTATACATTTCAGCATGTCAAGTAATACACAATAAGTAACACTGAAGGCATAGATAATTTGTTATAATTCAGAAACATTTTGAAGTATTTAAGTTTTTCCTTACAATGAAGAATTAGAGAAATAAGTGCTTTGTTAGTAATTTCTTTTTTTTAGTGTTACATTCAATATGAGTCTTTTTTTCATAGTACATTTCAAAGAAATTATTGTATTATTTAAAGTAAAGAACATGGATATAATTTTGCTAAGAACAGAAATAAATAAACTTTTGCTTATCTGTAGCTGGCAACATTTTATCAGAGATTGTCTTGAACATCTGCTTTCTTAGGCAGTCAAAGTCAAAGAAGAAAGTTTAGATTTTTTTTGTTTGTTTTTTTTTGCAGTAAATGCTTGTTGTAAATGTATCATGGGAATATTCTAGATTTTATTTAACTTTTTTATAATCTAACTTTTTCTTTCTTTATTGTTAACTACAATTCTTATCTGGTATTTTAAAGTATTTTTATTGCCCAACTTTTTTGTTATTATTAATTATTTTGGTTTCAGACTACCAACTTATATATCAGAATAAGAAACAATTAGGAAACATTTAACAAAGTGTACTGTAGTGTTGTAACAGGTTTCACTTTTAAGCTTCAGAAATTTTTGTAAATGAGCGATGGAAGAAAATTTCTGATAAAAATTAAAAAAAAAAAAAAAAAAAACGAAACATGTAGTTACATTTATAAATTAGGTATTTGTTCTTTATTTTTCTATCATTATTTAATTAATTAAACCGTTGATTCCAATTCATAGCTTACAGAAATTTTAAAAAAACGTTCGAATAAAAATTATAAAACTTACTTACCGAAACAAAAGTTTCAGTAGATAAGCATTTTTTGTAAATTTTGTTTATGGTTGCTTTGTTGGTGTTATGGTACCCGATTATTATTATTATCATCATCATCATCTCAAAGAGAACGCAAAAGAAAATGATTTTAAAAAAAAATGTTAATTTTCCAAGTTTGAAGTTATGTACCGAGTCTAGGTTCCACCATTTTTCCGAAATGAATGTCATAAAATCGCTACCCACCGTTTTATTTGCCAAAAACTCAGGAAACTATCGGTTTCGTTTCAGTAATGAATGAATTGAATTGTATTACTGAATGTTATTTCATTAGAAAACTTGGTGGAAATATTGGCAGGGGTGGAATTGTCCCCACCCTCCCACTTTCGATATCTTTTTAATTTTTCGAGGGTGGGAGGAGTCAAATTTTCTTATTGTTTATAATATTGTAACAATATGATGCTAAAAAAATAACTTACTTAAATAAAAATAAAATCTTGGTCGAGTTTCATATTGTGAAAAGCTTCTATTTAAAAAAAAAAATAAAAAAAACAGCCTTATACTTTTTTTTTTAACCATGGCATAAACATTAATTTTTTAAGAAATGAAAATTATTAACGTTTAAAGTTGAACTTGTTAACATTATTCATTTTTAAACATTTATTGTCATATTTCACAAATACGAAGTGCGAAGTTTTTAGACGATGACTTATTAATTATTCAATTGAAGTTTATTTTCAATGCATGAATAATAATAATATTCAATAATATTCATGAAAATAAACTTCACAAAGACAACAATATTAAAAACAAGGCATAAAAAATTTGTTGGGTCAGAATCGTCAGATACTTACATTTTTGGCCGCGAGTTTTAAATTGTTAATACTCGAAGTTAAATTTTGTGATGCTATCATTTACGTGATTATTAAAAAAAAAAGTTGGAATTTCAAATTTTCATGGATGACAACCTTTCCCTGCCATTTTAGCGCAAAACAATCTTCCTCTCGATTAGGGTTTTTTTTTGTGTGTTGTTTTGAGTTTTTTAGTAAATAACTTAAAATAAGAAAAAAAAAAACAACTTTTTCAATGAATTTAATGTAATTTTGTTCATACAGGATTAAAAATTGAAATGGTGTTTTATTGTAAGAATTCTTTTAAAAGAACTTGCAAGTATTAAAAAAAAATCAACAGGTGATTGGTAAAAATAAAAAAATTAAAAAACTTGAAAGATGAAAACTTGAAAAGTTTTACTTTACATTTCATTTATTTTAAACAAGTACGAATATGTTACTTGGAAAAAAGCAAAATATTAGAAACGAATATGAATCTAAGAATTAAAATAAAACTGAACCAACAAGTTTTAACAACAAAAATACCGAAGCACTTGCAAAAAAAAAGAAGAAAAAAAACTTACCAGTCCATACAAAGTGGAAGTGTACTCGCCTTCTTTAATTTGCATCAAAGCCATTTTTTAGTCTCCGAGAATGGTGAAAAATTGCCAAAGTAAAAAGGGAATATTCATGTGTAAGTTTCAGACTTTGAAGAAAATAGGGAGAGTAAATATTTCTGATAATTATTTTAATGGTTATTCTACATGTTTGTTTCGAAGCGACAAAAAAAGTTACAAAAACTATTGTTATTATTGAGCGTCGTCCTGACAACACAGAAATGATAAAAGAGTGATTGAAAACAAGGGAAGTAACCGTTACATTTTTATTTTCGTTTCCTTTGATGATATTAATTCATTTTTATCTCTCCGGACAGACAAATGCGATTCAAGACTAGGTTGAATGTGGTGGGCCCTTAAATGCAAAAATTGCCCCATCAACCCGACTTTTGCTGTAGGCATCAGGATGTACTATTTTACTAATGCAATGAGAAGCTACTGCCTGGAAGACTGATCCCCAAGGACCAGAAATGCTAGAAGACTTTTTTTTTTGCCAATAATGTTCCCGCTGTACAAGGTCCAAGAGCCACTCGAGGTAGAGGATTAAAGTGTAAAATGTAATAGCCACAGTTTATGAGGATATGTAGAGAAAATAACGGTTAACTGTAGACTAGAATAAGTTAAGAAGAATAAGATTGTAGTGATCGGAGAAGCATACCGTCGGAGGTCAGTTCCACAAAGTAGCGGTTCGTGGGAAGAAGCTGTTCAAGTAGAACTTACATCTCAGCGATGAAATACGAAGGGAATGGGGGTGGTTCGCGACAATGTGTGTGGCATGGTGGGTTTGAGCTGTGAAGGTTAGAATTGATGGAACTACGGAATGTAGTTGGTCTGGAGTCTGGACACTTTCCAATATCGAGCGGTGCGAGGCTTGCAACGTTTCCTATGTGGGAAAAAGGATTATAGGTTGGAAAATAATTCATCACCCACAATGCCGCGTAGTTGAATTTGGACTTTATCGAGACTGGAAAGTGAAGACTGGTCAGGTTCTGTCCATATATGGCAGCAGAATTCCATTTTCTGTCTGATATGGCTCTTGTAAATGTAGAAAAAAAACGGGAGGAATCAAGTACGTACTGTACGAGTAACCGATCATTCTCCCAGCATCTTTAGCAATGGATCGTACAAGAGTCGGCTGAAAAGTTCATAGTCTGACCAAGACACTCTTATGGAACGTGATCAAATGAGGTTTATTTTTCAACATAGTTCACCTTGCGGTCTATACAATTCTTCCATTTGGTGTTGCAATTCTTAGATCCCCTTGCTAAAGAAGCTTTCATCATGTTGATCAAAAAGTTATCGATAGTAGATGTTACATCATCATCACTGTGATACTGGTTTACAGCCAAATGTTTTTTTTTTTACTGTTGGGAAACAGATGATAATCAGATGGGGTTGTGGGGAAACACTCACATCATACGAACAGAAATTAGCCTCGTGTTCAGGGAGATAAAGGCATACTTGGCAGGAAATAAAACGTACAGAAATAACAGGAAAGCATGGTAAATTGCATGTTAATTTCATACAATTTGTTTATAATTTTTGTGTGTATTTTTTAGATTAAATTGTTTCATGGTATATATAATGAGAGGAAGAATTTACTTCGTATTATTACTCGCCATATCACAGAGAGAAGTCAAACACGTGTTTCCCGTACCAAGGTGCGTGGCGAAGAGATTGAATTTAACGTCTATTGGCGGGATGTTCGTATTTCCGACAGGAACAGTTTTTGTTGCATGCTGAGAGAATTTTTTTATTTCTATTTTTATTTAATTTATTCTAAACAATGTTTAAATATTATTGCCTTATTTTATTTTATTTATAATTTTCATTATTATTATTATTTTATATTTTATCTATTTATAGTAATAATGTCACTACAAGGTCAAATCAGGAGAAAATAGAGGGTGATCTACCATTTGAAAGCTATAGTCACGCACAGTAGCCATTGAAACCAATGCTGGAGTATTATCCTGATGAAACATGACACCTTTCATCAGTTTTCCTGAGCGTTTGGTCTTGATAGCCTTTCGTAATTCCTTCGGCAGGGTGGTATAGTACTTTTCATTGATGGTGTTTCCCTTTTCAAGATAGTCAATAAACAATGCCTTTTGCATCCCCACAAAAATGAAGCTATCACTTTCCTTACAGATGAAATGACCTTGGTGTTATTTGGAGCAGGTTACAAGAGGAGTTTCCACTGCTTGGATTGTCTCTTTGTATCTTGCACAAAGTGCTAAACCTAACGCTCATCCTGGGTTAGGAAACATTCAAGGAAAACCGCTGGGTCTGCCTCAAACAATGTCAGATGTTCCCGTGATGGGATCAGCCTGGTGCGCTTTTGATCAGGGGTTAGAAGACATGGCACCCAACGAGCAGAAACCTTCATCATGCCAAGTTAATTGTGCAGAATATTCTCAGTTGTCTCACAGGATATGCATTGGCTATTTGTTTTATAGTCAATTGCCTGTTATCCATCGCTATGTGAGCGTCCTGGGTATGACGATAAACTACATCCGCGTCCTGGGTAAGACGATAAACTACATCCAACAGCAAGGCATCTGATCAGGAGGTTTTGAGGAACGTGGAACCACCTCTTAATTGCTGGTGTTCCCAGGTCCACCCTGACCCCGGGTGGTAGCACCTGTTAGGGTCCCAGCTATGGGCAAATAATTAACCCTGAAACGGAGCTAAAAAGCATTATAAAAGTGTAAAAATGGGTTTTAATACCAGAAATAATTTGCAAAAAATTATTAGCAGAAATAAATTTTTGAAGAAAAAACACTATTACCAGAAATATATTTTTTGAAGAAAAAAAAATAAAAATATTACCAGAAATATGTTTTTGAAAAAAAAGACTACTACCAGCAATACGTTTTTGAAAAAAATACATATTACCAGCAATACATGTTTTAAAATAATATTACCAGCTATATATTTTTGAGGCAAAAAATATTACCAGAAATAGATCTTTAAACAAAACAAAATATTACCACGAAAAAAAAAGGTTGTCGGCATTAAATAACCCATTGAGGTGTTGCAATGCCGTAAAACATAACAAACCAAACCAAACCATCATTATGTGGAGGACACGATGAATGTTTTCATCGGTGGTGGCATTTGCAAGACGTCCAACCTGGGATCATCTTCAAGGCTCCCTCTTCCTCTCCTAAATTCAGCTGCCTACTTTTGCACCATTGATAAAGTTAGGGCGTCATCCCCTAATTTATCAACCATATCAGCATGAATATCCTTGAGAGTTAAACTGTTATCTGCAGGTACTTCATAATACCACGATACCAAATGTTGCCTTTTTTTCAATAGAAGTCACCACTAGTTACTTTTGAAGTTTTCTTTGAACAGTCAGATGTCAGTTTACGTGGAAATAATGCAGTTATTAATAAGAAGAGTTGGCATTAATTCATGCAAGATTTCACAGCTCTAACACCATAATCAGCCTATGAACTTTTCAACCCACCCTCATATGTATGAATTCCACCCAAGATCTGAAGTGTCCCAATAAGCGTCCAAGGCACGTGCCTCCCTGAGAGGACACCCATTCATTGCGATAGACGAAAATTCAGAGTCCGCTCGGTGATGACTGAACGTCAATAATTTGGTTTTTGTGACATTGAATGTGACTAGTCAGTTTTTACTCTGTAGTGAGTGCGACATAATAAACCCATTTACCCACACCCTTCAAATTTGGAGGACTGGGGAAAGGCAGAAAGAAATTCGCGAGCCTACGTGAAATTTTCTTTGAAAACCTTGCCTTCACAGAGATTGGCCAACAAGCCGAGAAGAAAAAGAAAATAAATTTGCGAGCCTATGTGAAATTGTTTTTGGACCAATGAAAACTATGTCTCCACAGAAATTAGTCATTGAGTCAATAAGAAAGAAAAGAAAATTGTGAGCTTATGCAAAATTCTTTTTGACATAAAATGAGGAGAAAAATTAAATTAAGTATCGAAGAGTGTCTGATATGACGTCATATGAAAGGTTTTGTTTCTGCTCATCGTATTCAGTGTCCAATTTCTTACCAGTGTAAAATTATTCACCAATTATATTATCGGCTTTTAACCAAGCACGCAGCATTTCAAAGATATTTCTCTCAACAATCCAAGAAAGCATTTCAAACTATCTCTATTCGTCAACTTTTGAACGTATATAACTATATATCCCTTCTGTGAGAAACGAACTCTCTTACCTTTGCCTTAAATATTTTTTAATGTAATTTTGTGTCAGATCATTTAATCTGTTGTATCCTCCAATTTAACTGGAAAGTGATGACAGAAAAATCACAACACTTTTAAATTAAAAATCTCTTAAAAATAAAATAAGAGATTTATTTCAAAGAAAATTAGTAAATTTAAATAACAATTAACTGGAAATTATTTGAAAAAATATTACTTTTTGCATAAATATAACGAACAGTCCATTTGTTTGTGACTACTATTTAAGAACAAGCTCAATGGTCAAACAGCAGGAGTTTACTCACTCAATGTCCACTTTTAAACACCCAGCTTCGAATTGAATTAAGTACGGGAGACTAAAACTGCCGAAATACAGAAACTTGTTTCGTTTATGTTTAAAATAATTGTTTTTCACCTTTATATAACCAATGAATTGGGAATAGTTTTTCATTCTATAGGCTTTTCTGAAAATTATAATAATTTGATCTAATGTCATAAAATATTTAATTGCATCAAATCAGCTCTTTTTAATTATATTAAGAAAATCTATGAAACAAAGGAAATGCTACTGAGGAAAAAGACTGGGGTGAAGTGAAGTCTTGGCTGTTTTTTGCAAAAACCTGTAAAATAAAATAAAAACTCAGATATGCGACTATATAAAATAAAGATAAAAAAAAATATTGACTAAGACCGATATTAATCTCACGAGAGTAGTGAGAGGGACTCAAGTGAGATGATTCAGAACTTTTCCTATTTGATCTTCCATACAAAAAAATTAATCTAACATTTGTGTAAATGATAAAGAAAATCCTTTTAAAAATATTTCTG